TAGCAAACCTTTCTCTCCTACATCGCAACAGCCTACCCTATTTTTTAGTCTTCAGCTAGGGTTGCAATATTTCAAAAAGAGAAAACCTGAAAACAAAAGTTGTTGAGCTTCCGATATGGGCTGACATACACCCGGGTTTTCCGGACATTTTAGCTACTTCCTGAAAATTCCACCTGGACGCCTTTTGCGATGGATGAATCCTGGCTATGCCCAGGAAATTCTGGACATATGGCAGCCCTACTTCAGCCCATACTCATGGAAGCAGGGGGTGTCCGCTAGCAAGCAGCCACCAGACATCAAAAGCCATCAAAGCAAGTACCTCCTTAGTCTAGCCTGGACACAGCATAGAACAGGCATAGGCAAACTCGGCCCTCCAGAGGTTTTGGGACTACAACTCCCATCATCCCTGACCACTGGTCCTGTTAGCTAGGGATCATGGGAGTTATAGTCCCAAAAGATCTGGAGGGCTGAGTTTGCCTATGCCTGGCATAGAACAATCTTTCATGGCCAGCTAAGAAGAAGCCTAGAGGTGGTTTCTCTCTCTTCACTTACTTATTTGTTTCACATTTATTACATTTATATCCTGCTCTTCCTCCCAAATTAGTCCAGGGCGGCAAATGATAAAACATCTAAGCGCATCTTTAAAATATTTCCAATACAGATGAAGATGGGGGAAAGATCTCTGCTGAAAAGCCTTGTTGGAAGAGAAGTGTCTTCAGCAGGTGTTGGAACAGAGACAGTGCCTGCCTAATATTCAAGGGGAAGAAATTCCAAAAAGTAGGTACCACAACACTGGGATGTGATACCTACATTGTGCAGAACAGAGGTATCTGCAGGAGGCCCTCACCTGCAGAGCATAGTGACTGGTTGGGCATTGGGTAAGACAATCTTGCAGGTATCCTGGTCCCAAGTTGTTCAAGGGCTTTATACACTAAAACCAGATCATTTCACGCAGCCCAACAGTGCTCCTGTTGCAGCGGTGGAGAAAACATCGGAGATATGTATGCGCGTGCGGTGGCAAGCTTTGCCTCCATTTCCCAGATTTTTGCCTGAGTGACAGAAAATCACAGCATCCTAATCTAGGCTCATCATAAACATATTAAGGGCCTCGGCACGATAAATTCTGCTCCAACGAGATGCTGGGGGGGGGGGGATTTATAGAACCAAGCAATCAATGGTGGCACAAGGGTAAGATGTCCTTGGGTGCATGTCAGCTAATTTACTGCCATTACTCAGATATGTAGCTATAAAAAGGACATCAGGATGCTTTTCTATGCCTTCATAAAAGCTTAATTTATAACTTCATCTCCAGAGTCAGGATCTGCCCGCAAACGGTTTATGACACACGGATCTCTTTCGGAAGGAAGGCTCGCCCAGGTGCTGACAATCATCCGTTCAGTTAATGAGACAAAGGGAGAGGAATTGCCTGCAGTGACGGCAGCGTCATCTACTCCCACCCTCCTGCAAATTTATTAGGCTACTTGGGATTATTAGGGTAACTAAGTATTTTGTGGCTGTGAACACAGGAAGCTGCCTTAGGCTGAGTTCGTCTAGACCAGTGGTGTCTTCTCTGACTGGCAGCAGCCCTCCGGGGTCTCAGGGCTTAGCGAAGAACAGCTTGCAGCCATGTCAGGCATTTTTGTACCTTCCATCTTAAACATAGGTGGAGATTTCCACGGAGGTTGCGGCACACAGAGAAGGGAACGGTAAACTTTCCCCTGCCTTGATCCTGATGAAAGAAGCCTCCACTCACTGTCACACATAAATGAGCTGAAATTTATGATGGAGGGGAAAGCTCCATTGATTGATCCCTCATTCCACCAATATTTCCTTGGCTATATTGGTGGAACTGCAAGTCAGGAAAGGGCTGTTGCACTCAGGTCCTGCTTGTGGGCTTCGCGTTGCAGCATCCGTTTGGCCACTGTGAGAACAGGGTGCTGGAGCATATTCTTTGGTTCTTAGGTTCTTAGCAGGGATTCCGATGTCAAGGAGTGGATTATAAAAGGATTCCTTCTAACAAGGATATTTCTCTTTCTTCCTCTGTTTAAAGTATCATCATTGTCAGTTTCCCCCTGCAAGTTCCTGGGGGGGTTGGCCCCTGTGGGAGCGAGTTCCTTAGGTTAACTATGCGCTGCGTGAAGAAGTCTTTCCTTTTCTCTATCCTGAATCTTCCAACATTCAGCTTCCTAGGATTTCCATGAGTTCTAGTGTTAAACCACAATGGGGCAGTTTGTCCTCCTAGGGAGTCCTCCAGCTCCAAACCTTCTCTGGGAAAAAGAAACAGGAACTGCACACCAAGCAGGCAAATCATGTGTGTGTTTATGCAAAGGCATTTTCCCACCCCCTGCACACACGCACACGCCTTTATTTATTCCATGCAAATTTGCATGCAAAATTCCAAATGCCTTTCTTCCTTCAGAAGCATTATGCACTTCTTAATTGCAAGAGAAATGAAGTCGGCTTCTCCCTTCTGCCTTTGCAAGATGCGGAGCTCGTCGTCGGTACTCAATAAATAATCAAGGTTTGTTTTTTCTTCAAAACCTTCCTTGCCACTTTTGCTAATGATCCATGATGTTTGCGATAAACAAGCCATTTCCCTCCGAGAAGCTTCAATCAGCTTCTTGTCTCCTGGGAGCCCTTCTCTCTCTCTCTCTCTCTCTCTCTCTCTCTCCTTCTGTTTCTCTTATCGCCAACTATGGTGTCTTATCAGTTCCTAGTGCTGTGAGCAGACTAAGCCTCTTCTGGAAAAATGAGTACTGCACATGGGCAGGTGTTGATGGAGACTGAACTTGGAAGAATGTTAGGCATCTGACGGGAGCAGCATAAAGTGGTGGGGAGTGTGTAAGCATCAGAGGAGAACTTGAGGAGAATTCTTGTGGGTTTGAGCCACCAAAAAGGTCGAGAGAAAGGGAGGAAATGAGAATCATTGGGTTGTGTTCAACTGTGTTCTACACAGATTAGACCCACTGACATTAACAGACATCACTTATTCATAGTCAATAGTCTACTCAAAGTATGGGTACATAACTTTAGAGTTGGACAGGATCTTGGGCGTCAGCAGGTCCAACCTGTCTGCTCAAATTGATGGGCGGGTGTGTGTTCCTGCATCCATCTTTGTTGCTGGAGGCTCGGGTAGCCTTAGTGGCTAGGAGTGCCTTTTACCAGCTGTGGCTGGTATGCCTATAGCAGTCCTTGGACAGAGTTAGTCTGACCACAATGAACCATGCATTGGTAACCTCAAGACTTGCAACATACCCTATGTGGAACTCCCCATTGGGCCTGGTTTGGAGGCTCCAGCTGCTGCAAAATACAGTGGTACCTCGGGTTAAGGACTTAATTCGTTCTGGAGGTCCATTCTTAACCTGAAACTGTTCTTAATCTGAAGCACCACTTTAGCTAATGGGGCCTCCCACTGCCGCCACGACGCTGCTGCATGATTTCTGTTCTCATCCTGAAGCAAAGTTCTTAACCCGAGGTACTATTTCTGGGTTAGTGGAGTCTGTAACCTGAAGCATCTGTAACCTGAGGTACCACTGTACTGTGAATAGAGTGTTGATGGGGACAGACTATTGATAGCTGGTGCTCAAAAGCTTGCACTGGGTGCCCATATGCTACCAGGTCAGGGTCAAGGTTATTGTAATAATTTGCAAGGCCCTTAAGTTGTTAGGTCTAGGAGACCTCAGGTACCGCCTGAACCTTTAAATCCTTGCCCAATCTTAGTGATCCCCCTGGCTCGGATCCACGGCTCATATTCACCAGGAGCTGTGTGTTCAGTGTTGTGAGCCCAGTTTTATGGAACTCCCAGTTGAGGTCTGACAGGCCCTCTTCCTGCTGACCTTCCAGGACCTACAGAAGACTTCTTTATTCCTGCAGGCAATTCAAATAAATTCTAGTTTCCTGGTTTTAACTAATTGCACTGAGTTTCTTTGCACACCACCTAGAGACATTTGTAATTAAGCAGTTAGAAATTGCTGAAATCAATCTTGAATGAAGAAATATTGAAACTACAAAATGTTGTAATATACAGCTACTGACTCAGGCCTGTGTGCATGAACCCTGAATTGCCCATGGGGGTGGAGCTTAGCAGACTCCCTGCAACCTTTTAGTTTCCTGCTATTCTCCTTTCTTCCTATGCTTCCCAGAGCTAGGAGACATGTGGTCAATGGCTCCCAGTAGCAAAAAACAAAACAAAAACCCAAGTGAACTGAATCTCTCCAAAATGGAGATTTTAAAGCCTGCACCTTTGCTAACCCAGAGATTACATGGTCCTTTTTGTAAGGAAACCAAGTTCTTTTCCTTTTAAGTCATTTAAACCTTTTTCATCTTCATTTTACTGCCAATGGAGACTTGCTTACTGTAACTTCTGGAAAATCCGTGAATAAAACATTCACTTATTTGCAAAGTTAAGAGTCTGTGATTTCTTCTAGCCTAAGTATTTTTGTAGGCAACATTTGTTTAAGGATAGATGAAGGCAGATGCAAATCTAAGCCCCCCACCAGTATTGCACATAACAAAAATTATTATTTTAGTTGCCTTCGTGGCAAAAAAAAAATACCCCCCCCTCCAAATCTCCTTCCTTGATATCTTTCTGCCTTGTCAGCTTTGGTAATTGAGAATTCAACAGCAAAAAGCAATGTAACGAGCCTTCAGTTTTTACTGTCAGCCTGGCTGTCCACATATTTCAACTTTATGAGGCATATTCTTGCAGCGAGACAAATTGTATACAAGGCCCTCATTCCACCAATATTTCCTTGGCTTGACATTTCATCTTCTCCACGGGAGTGGGAGCCAAGTCACGATGCCAAGCTGAGGACGAGGCCCAGATGAAAGGAGGAGGAGGCTTCTGCTGGACCACATCTGGACAAAAGAGCAAGGGAAGCAGACCCGGCTTGATGTTGGAGCACCTGCTTGGTGTGCAGAAGGCCTCAGGTTCAATCTCTGGCATCTTCAGGAAAAGCTGCTGGAGACTCCCTGTGTTCCTGTGTCTTAAGAGGAGGGTCACAGCTCAGTGGTAGAGCATCTGCTTTGCATGCAGAAGGCCACAGGTTCAATGCCCATCATCTCTGGTTAGGGCTGGGGCAGATCCCCTGCCTGAAACCCTGGAGAGCCACAGCCAATCAGTGTACTGAGCCAGATGGACCAACTAAGGTAGCATCCTATGTTCCTATCAGCCCAAGGCAGCATGAACAGCCATTATGGGTGATGGAGGTGGTAGCCTATTATCATCTGGAGGGCCACAAGTTCACCTTCCTCTGCTCTAGGAAAACTAGGTGCTGACCAAGGATCAGTGGTCTGACTCAGTATAAGGCAGCTTCCTATGTTCCTATATAACCTCCCTTCAAACTGGGTGAGCCAAGTCGGAAGTTGAGATCAAAAGGTGCAACAAAACGCAATGTGGTTGACTGCAACTCCCATCTTTCCCAGCCACCTTAGCCAAGGTTCAGGGATCATGGGAGTTGTAGTCCAGCAACATCTGGGGACCCAAGGGGATGTATTCTTATTAGGACTGCTTTGTGTGCAGAAGGCCCAGGTTGAATCCCTGGCATCGCCAGGTTAGGGCTAGGAGAGACCCCTGTCTGAAACCCTGGAGAGCCATTGCCACTCAGTGTAGACAGTCCTGAGCTAAATGGACCATTGGTCTGGGCTCAGCAGACGGCAGCTTCCGATGCAATGTTGGCGAGGATGGTACAGGAGTAGTTGGGAAACAAGAAAATGTAAGAAAACTGAAATAACTGAACAAGACTGTGCTACGGCAACAACAAAAAAAGAGATCACAAGCTGTTTTCCAACAGCTTGGATTTCACGCTGAGAGATGTAGTTAAACGGGGCCGCTTTCCCTATCAGTGGGCGATGCTGTGCGCCCGCCTTAAGAGTACAAGGCATGGATCAGAGATAAGAAAATGTGCTCAGTGGGAGGTAACCGGCTTCTGCTGGGCATCCTAAATCCATTTAGGCCTTTAGGTGGGACCGTGATATTAGTGTAATCTCTCTGGTTTCCCTGCAAACGGCCTCCTGACACGGCATTTTGGTCTCTACTTAATGAAACGAGAAAGGCAACCCAACTGCGCCCCCCTTTCGCAGAAAGCACCAGGCTCCCCACCGTTACCACCTTACAAAAGGCACCGCAGTTTTCTGGCAAATTAACCACAGCCCAGAAATAATTAACCCCACTGCGGCGAGGATTTTTACAATGGCTATATATCAAGCTCAGCTAACATAGGCCCCCTCAGATAATTGCTTCGATCTCAATTGTTTCCCCCACAAACGCAGAGAGCCCCCCCCTTCTTTCTACCAACCGTTGTAAAATCAGCTGTTGTTTATGTGCTACGCAGGGTGACTTTAGAAGATGTATGTTGAATGCCGCATCTCAGTATGCCGTCCCTTTAGGGAGGGACAGCTGCTCAGCAGTAAAGCACATGCATTGCATACAGAAGGGCCCGAGTTTGATTCACGGCATCTTCAAAAGGACCAGGAAGCAGATGATGCAGTCCCTATTTCTGCCTGAGAGCCTAAAGTGCTGCTGTCAGGCACTGGAAGCAATACTGGGCTAGATAGGGACAGCTAAAGGGTGCTCACATTTCCGATTTAGAGTGCAGTGAAGTCGTGTGGGGTTGTTCCAGTGCGTTAACAGCTTTCTCCCCAGCTGTTCACATCCACAGGACTTCATTAGTGTCAGATTCATTTCTGTGTGTGCACAGGGCAGGCATGTCTTTACCCTTATGCAAGGGTCTTTGCACCTTGGCTGGAGACAAAACAGGAATAGCTGGCGGACTCCAACTGGTGTGAAGCTGGTTTGATAAACAAAGCATCCAACAGCAGTATTTTAAAGCAAAGCAAAGGCTACATAAGCATTTGGGAGAATGTCGTGCGGACATGGGTTAAAAACCCAGAAATGGAAACTCTGCGAGTGTGAACACTGCCCAAGCCTGCCTTGGTATAAAGTGGCTCCCTGTGTTCTTTTAGAATGAGGGTGGGGGCTTTTCCAGGCAAGTTAATAGGTGCTGTCACATTTCACAGAAACTTCCCAGCCAGGCAAAAGCACTCAAGGAAGCAGAGCAGAGGGGAAGGAGTGTGGCCTAGGGAGAATGCCAAGGGCCAGGTAGAGAGGTCCATAGGGCCACATTTGTTCCCAGGACCTGAGGTTCCTTAAAAAGGTAAAGGGACCCCTGACCATTAGGTCCAGTCATGGCCGACTCTGGGGTTGCAGCGCTCATCTCGCTTTACTGGCCAAGGGAGCCGGCATACAGCTTCCGGGTCATGTGGCCAGCATGACTAAGCTGCTTCTGGTGAACCAGAGCAGCGCACGGAAACGCCGTTTACCTTCCCGCCGAAGTGGTACCTATTTATCTACTTGCACTTTGACGTGCTTTCGAACTGCTAGGTTGGCAGGAGCTGGGACCAGGCAACGGGAGCTCACCCCATCACGGGGATTCGAACCGCCGACCTTCTGATCAGCAAGTCCTGGGCTCTGTGGTTTAACCCACAGCGCCACCCATGTCCCATTCTGAGGTTCCTTACTCCCATGCTAACATTTAGGAGGTGAATAAGAGGCTTGTATGAAGAAGGCGTGCATCAGCCTAGCCATAGGGAGCTACTAGGAATTGTGTGTTTAAGTCCTTTACAGGCCTAACTGCAGTCTGCAGGATCTGCTCCTGTGACTGCCAGGCAGTGGATCAGGCCTGCTGGAATGAAAGGGGATGGCTATTCATTTCAGTGGATCTACTCTGAGCAGAACTTAGTTGGAGACAACCTTCTGCAGTTTCCTTGGGCCTGCCTCCCCAGTTACATTCCCCGCCTGTCTCGCTGCTGAGTTGCCCTTCCCTTCCTGCCGACAGGCTCTTATACGGCCACAGCGAGGGGATAGGCACATACCGCAGCCAACTTCCACTGCATCTCTCCAAACCTCTACGCTCCAGTGTTTACTTCCAACTGAGCCAAGGCTGGAGAAATGCAAGGACGTGCCACACCCTTGCTGCCTTCCTGTTTCTAAGCTGGGTGACCAGCTATCTGGATGCTGACGCAATAGGGTTTTGGTCTTGTTGTTTTTTGCACTATGGAGGCAGGGTTAGACTACATGACCACCAAGTTCCCTTCTAATGTTGTGGTTCAATGCTATAGGGCCTTTAAAAGTTTGAGCTTTTGAAGTTGAGCCTTTAAAAGTTTGCTGGATTAGCCATCTATCTGCTGTCCCTGAAAGGTCTCTCCAACTTGCTATAGCTCTTCCCCTTCTTCTGGTTACATCCCACTTCCCACTGCCAGATCCCTCCTCAAAACCCATCCCATCCCATCAATAGTGTCTTAGTTTGCACTGCACTGCCCCACTTTACCTTCCTAATCCACTATGCAACTACCGGTTGCAACTGAAGCCATCAAACGCGGGGCATGGCCGAAACAGTTAAAATTGCTTTTAAGCAAAAATTAAAACCAAATGCCACAAAGGAAAAACTAATATAGGAATAATCTTCATCAGACTTAATTAGCAACTCGGGCTGTTACCAAGACACACAATTAAATCTATAGGTAAAACGACAAGCCAATACAATTTGTGCACAGAGCTTTAATCTGCAAGCGGGTGCAGAAATCTATAAGGAGGAAAAACAATCATTAATTTTAATAATGCCTAGAATTACTATGTGCCGAGATGAGTTTTCAGCATCAAGACAACAGCTTCACCTCTTGGGAGGCATCAAAGAAGAATTAAACTTTCTTTCCTTAAATATGAATGGGGAGAGCCAGCTTGTCTGGATCCTTAAAATGCAGCGGATGTTCGCACCAGGTAACGGAATATCGTACACACTCGCAGCAATGTCTCTCTCAGTGGACTAAACTGGTTATTTCCATATCCATCTTTTCAATCTGTGTCCGGTTGCACAATACCATTTGGGGCTTAAGATAAACCTGTTTAGATTTTCTTCTTCTTCTTCTTCTTCTTCTTCTTCTTCTAACGGATGCTTTGCATCAAGGGATGCTTTTGTTCCTGGAAGTTTATGGCTGTCTAAAACTTTGTAAGCTGAGAAACGGGGCCAGTGTCTCCAGCAGAGTTGTCAGCGAATCAATTTCTATGCACTTTCAAAGTATGTAGTGTTATGATTTGGGGGGACGCCAGTCAGTCTGGATGGAACCCTGGGTTCCCTTCCAAACCTTCAACCTATACCTGTGGGGGCAGAATATGTAAGAGGAAGCCTGCCAAACTACCGTATTTTTTGCTCTATAAGACTCACTTTTTCCCTCCTAAAAAGTAAGGGGGAATGTGTGTGCGTCTTATGGAGCGATTGCAGGCTGCGCAGCTATCCCAGAAGCCAGAACAGCAAAATGGATTGCTGCTTTCACTGCGCAGCGATCTCTCTTGCTGTTCTGGCTTCTGAGATTCAGAATATTTTTTTTCTTGTTTTCCTCCTCCAAAAACTAGGTGCGTCTTGTGGTCTGGTGCATCTTATAGAGTGAAAAATACGGTAGTCCCTTTGTCAAGGAAGTGGCAAAGAAAGGGGGGAAGACATTTCACCCCATTGTGCTCACCCAGCTAGAGGCCATGCAATCCTAGGTAGGGAAAAGAACAATAGCCAGAGTTGGTGGTCGTGTGTGTGTGTGTGTGTGTGAGAGAGAGAGAGAGAGAGATGAAAAGCTAAATGCTAGAAACTGCAGGCAGAGAGCAATGTTTTTTGCTCCGTGCTGGATCTGTTGAGGTATTAAGACTGAGAGTCCCTCCACCCGATGCTCAGCTTGTATATACAGTCATACCTCGGGTTACAGACACTTTGGGTTGCGCGATTTCAGGTTGCACACCGCGCTGAACCCAGAAGTACCGGAATGGGTTACTTGTGGGTTTCAGCACTTGCGCATGCGCAGAAACGCTGAATCGCAACCGCACATGCACAGACGTGGCGCTGCGGGTTGCAAACGTGCTTTGCTCATGGATCATGTTCACTACCCAAGCGTCCACTGTGTGTGGAAATAAAGTCATAGGCCCTAAAAACACCACACCTTCTGCTAACTTGCATTCCAAGGAAACCAAACCCTGGGTGATGCGCTTGAGATCCCTTGCGCCTCTCACTGCTTGGAGGGTGGGGTGGCATGTAACAATATATTTCAGGAATCCCCCTCCGTGGCACCCACCACAGACGCCACACCATCTCAATTTATTTTCTTTTTTTAATTGTTTAGTGTTTTGTTTTTGTTTAATTATTTCCCCATGAGTGGTGTTGGGCTGGTTAGAAGGCAGAATGCAGGCATCCACACCCTGGGCTGTTCCTGAGGTCCTGCTCCAATGCTGACACCCACATATGAGCAGTCAGCAGTGTTGGAGGCAGGGTGGGCACACCAGGTGAGCAGGGAAGGAGGGCACTCTCTTGCTTCCTGCTATGCATTTTTAAAACTAATATTATCATTGATTTTTATTGCACATGTTTTATTTTTAAAAATCGGGGGGGGGGGGAATAACCCTCAGCTTACATTGACAATACATTTAAACATCAACACATCCATCTTAGTTTACACATATAGATCAATATATACCATCTAAATGTCCAATTATGTACCCAAGAGTTGGTGTTTATATAAAACATGCTCAATTGTAACAAGAGTGTTAATGTCATCAAACCACTGCAAAAGAGATAGCAGATATTTATCCTTTCAGGCTCAAATAATAAGTCTCTTAGTGACCAGTACGGCCCACAGCATCCGTTCTTGTTGTCCCACCATTAATCTCCATGTGAGAAATACGATTTAAAACTACACAAACATCTGAAAATTTCAAGGATCTTGCCAATACAAAATTGATATGGATGACAACTTCTGATGAAAAAGAAGTATCACGGGACATGTTCATATCCTGTGTCTCAGAGAGGTATTTACAGTTTTACACCTCCAGCACCTACCTGAATTGGATAGGGCTTCCTGCTATACATAGCAGGATAGATCTAAGTAAAATGTAACATCTGATCCAGCAAACCAGCCCATAGATAAAGAACTCCACCATTTTATGTATCAACTGCCGTGCTGTCTATAACACTTGAAAAGCATTTTAATAAAAATAGAGACATTGGATTCTTATCTCATTACTGTATACATGATATAGCCATCTCACTCCTTGCTTTTTCCTGTAAGACCAATTGCAGGCGTCAACAGTCGTCAACAGGTTTACCACACCTATCAGCCAATCACCCATTCCCACCACCCTTCTGAATAATACCCCTCCCCACCCTCTCACTATATATAAGGGTCTGGTGACTTCTCTTTCAGTGTATCCGAAGGCGTGTGCATGCACACGAAAGCTCATACCAATAACAAACTTAGTTGGTCTCTAAGGTGTTACTGGAAGGAATTTTTAAATTTTGTTTTGACTATGGCAGACCAACACGGCTACCTACCTGTAACTAGAATGATGTTATTCATTTATGCATAAAATCTTAACACACCGTTCCTCCCAAAGGATCCCAGGGTAGAAAACACATAAATGATAAGACAATGCAATTAAAACATTAAAGAACGAATTTTATATATAAAAACAATTGCACAGCAGATGAAGATTGGGATAAAGATCTCCCCCCAAAAGATTTGTCACAAGAGGAAGGTCTTCTAATAGAGCTTCTGAAACAACAAAAGGGCCGGTATCTCTCTAATATATAACATGAGAGCATTCTATAGGGCAATTGCCAGCATGCTGCAGACCTAATCCCTACATTGTATGGAATGAAAGTCTTGACAAGATGGTATCTGCAGGAGGCCCTCTCCTGCAGAGCGCAGTGATCAGTTGGACATAAAATGCATGAGACAATCTTTTACTCTAATTTGCATATGATTGTTTTCCAGAAAACCCACATCACTGCCTTCACTTAGGGCTTTCGAAACCAGCACTTTGAATTGCGATCAGAAATAACCAAGCCATCACTGCAGCTGCTACAAAGGTGGTGATGGGGGAGAAGAGATATATGAGCCCTATAATCCCACCTCTGTAAGAAGTGTGGCTGCAGCATTCAGAAGCGACTGAAGTTTCTGAATGGTCTTTAAAGGCAACCCACATATAGCGCATTACAATAATCAAGAAAGGAATGAGGCACAGATCACTGTAGCCAGATAGGAGGGTTACACTGTTTTGACCTATTCTGCTAATATCAAACATTAACGGGTGAGCATTTGTTGCTTTCTGATGCCTAGCGGAAAGCCAACAACGTTCAGTCAACTGATCTCAATACCTTTGTGCAAGCCGCAACACTGTTCACCCTTACCTGCCGCCGTCTTCTGAACTTCTCGAAAGCCTCCTGCATGCTCTCAGTATCTGTTCTTTTCTCCTTGCCTTCATCATCAGATCCCTCAAGAGTTACTGTGAAAGCGCAGTAATTGTTCTTCCTTCCCGATGCCATCATTCTTTCGTACCTTCCGTACAAAGAAGTTCAAATGGTCATTTGCCAGAAATTCACATTTTAATTCCACCAAGTTTTAGAAGACTACTTCCTAGAGTGGTCCACCTCATAAGGAAACGAGAACATAGGAAGGGCTCTGCTGGATCATACCAAAGGCCCATCTAGTCCTGTTTCATAATGTCAACCAGATGTCTATGGGAAGCTCACAAGCAGGTCCTGAGAGCAAGAGCATTCTCCCCACCTGCCATTCCCAGTGACTAATATTCAGAAGTATACAAGCAACCCCTGATTTGCAGGGGGGTTGCATTCCAGGTCATTACAACCCCACGATGGTGGAGCGTGTATAAGCTTGCTCTGCACAGTTACGCCCCCTTTTTATGCCTTTTTCTTTGATTTGTTGAAATAAAAAATGAACTTCTAAGTTTTTCCACCAAGAAATTACTCTGCCTGTAATTTAAGTGAGATATACCCCTCTAAATGCCAACTTCCCCTACTTCATTCTGCCCAGTGGGACCAATGTTGGATGTATGACTTAGTGTACATGTTTAGGTGGACAAAGACTACTGCATTGTATTTGTTAAGTTGTGGGTTGACATAGCAGACGACACAGCGATTTCTCCAAAGCAGCTCTTTATTTTGTAAGCTGGAACAGAACTAAGCTGAGGAGCTCAGTCAGCCTGCTTATATAGAGCTCCAGAACAATGTAACTGTTGCCATTTTCTAAAACTATCCAATCACTGAACGTCACTTTTCGATCCTTCATTTGCATAACTATCTACAGTATCCCCCTGCTGGCCCAGGGTGAGAACTTCAGTACATAACAGTATTCTGTGTATTTAAGTATTAGGCACCATCTTTTTCACCTGGATATGAAAGGCAGTCAAGACCCTAATGATCTTTAAAGCATCTGTGGGTTTTAATGAAATCACTACTACATAGTGTAGTAATTCAATAGCTATGTAACTATGATGTATTACAGTATTTTAATATTTTTTTAGAAGCCGCCCAGAGTGGCTGGGGAAGCCTGATGGGCGGGGTATAAATTTATTATTATTATTATTATTATTATTATTATTACTATTATTATTCCACTTCTGGGTTCATGACAATGCACACATGCACAGTCGTGGGTGCTTTGAACGTGCACAGAATGGTAATGGCCTGTACTACTGCTGACAGTGGAGGGAGATCATGTTTGTTTTTGGGTAGTGCTGAATGAGAAATTTGACTCAGTGTGCAGTTTAAGGTGAAACAACCTAATTCACACTTTCCAAAACAATACGCAAACTGAAACACAGCCATCCTTCAAAATTCACGCTTCTCTCCAGCCAAGTAATGGGTACAAAAATGTACACACTGGGGTAAAGTGTTCATAAAAATGCTTATATTAATAAAAGCAACATATGAAAATGCATCCCATTAGGAAAAATCACTTCGCGTGAATGTACACATTAGGGGAAATTACATACTAACATGTATATTAGGAAAAAATCACACTAAAATGCTGATGAATTTTCATGAGGACTTTTAAAAAAAAAGTAACTTGCAAATTGATGTAGAAATGGGGAAGACTCATATTTAGACTGGCAAAGTGAGACACCAAAACGAACAGATTTGCCCTCTCCTACTTTGCAGGGTGGGGGGCACCTCTGGGAAGGAAGAGCCATAATCTGAATCCTATTGAAATGACTCCATGATTGGAGCAGAAGTGAAGTCCTTCGCTGCTTGTTAATGTGGGAACAAATGACTACCGTTTTCGAAAAGACAGGCAGGGAAGCACTTAAATCTGTTCTAGCCTCATTACACAGATAATTAAAATTTCACTCAGTAGTGCACAAGACCAATAACCTAGTCTATTAAAATATTTGTAAAAATGTCACTGTGTGTGTTCTTCCAGGATTTTAACGGCTTTCTCCAAATGTCTGGCTGGATTACCAAGTAGGCATGAAAGTTGAGCAGCCTTAACAGAATGGATATGCTGGGGCCCTCCAATTTATATTTTTATTTTTAATTATTTATTTCTCTCTTTCTCTCTCAGGAAAAGTGAGTCTCAAGTCATTTCATTTACAGAGATGTAACAAAAAACAAGCAAACAATTTTCAAGCTGATTACTAAACAAGAAACAAACCAGCTCCCGTGCTCCATGGTTCTGGCTGGTGTTTGCAAAGGTGCTTGCAAGTGTTTCCCCCACTCGCACCAAAGCTTTTCTGCCCTCATAACTGGAGATTCCCCTGACCACATCCCTCACCGGCCCTAAGTCCCGCCTCAGTTGTTTTTGCCTGCCTGCAACATGTCCTTCAACTCTGATACTGCCTCTTGGTTGCTGGGTGCAGGGTAAAGAGGAGTCTGAGAGTGTGCATAGAAGCTAGTCAATGGATTACTGCAATGTATTATATGTGGGGCTGCCTCTGGAAACAGTTCAGAAACTTCAGCTGGTGCAAAATTTGACAGCCAGGTTGCTCACCGGAACAAGAGAGTTTGAGCATATAACGCTGATACCAGCCCAACTGCACTGGCTGCCAATTAGTTCCCGGGCCCAATTCAAACTGCTGGTGCTGACCTTTTAAGTCTTACATGGCTCAGGACCTCAGGCCTCTCCCTATACAAACTGACCCGGACCCTGTGCTTATCATCCAAGGTTCTTCTCTATGTCTCCCGCTCTCCATGAGAAGTTCAGAGGGTGACAACAGGCCTTTTTGGTGGTGGCTCCCCATCTGTGGAATGCCCTCCCCAGAGGATCCTGGGAGGATCATTACATGGATTTAGGCAGCAGGCGAAAACATTCCTCTTTACCCAACCATTCAACCATTAAACAATCTATGGCTTGCTAAATGGGGGGCAGGGGGACAGTTATTACCATTATTTTATCATTATGCTGTGCAAATTATCTTCTTCACTGGACTTGATATTAGCCAAAAGGCTGAAAAATTGTCTTCTTAATGTTGTACATCACCCTGGGATCTTTGGATAAAGTGCTGTACATAAATCGAATAAATAAATAATAGCCTACTATATAATGGTCATATTTACATTTATTGCCCCAACCACCTTTACCTCTAGTCTCGCCCATCACTGACATGCGGCCCTTAGAAGGTTGCCCAGAAGAGAATGTGGCCCTCATGCTGGAAAAAAAGGCTTCCCACTCCTGATTACTCCCAGCATGAATTGTGGTGCTCTGGTATTTACAGCGCAGCCACCAGAGATGGCCAGAAGGCAGTAGTGTGGTTCTGGCCCACCAAGACTCAGGTGACACAAGGCACCAATTATGTTTCAATTGGTCTTATACAGTTGCTACTCACTCTGCCCTAGCAACTTAGTCTGGGCCAGGGGTCCTCAAACTTCTTCAGCAGGGGGCCAGTCCACTGTCCCTCAAACCTTGTGGGGGCAGACTATATTTTTTTGGGGGGTGAACAAATTCCTATGCACACTGCACATAGGGAGGGATGATGAGCGGTGCGCGAAAGGGCTCTGGGAAGGGACTGCTTTTAATGGCGGCTGCTTGATAGGGGCGCTCAGCCAACCGCGGATCCTGTGTCTTGCGAGCGGCAGGAGCTGGTGGTGGCGGCAGAGGGACGATAAGTGGCGCGTGAAAGGGCTCCGGAAAGGGGCTGGCACCAACAAAGCCCAGCCCCCTTCCTCCTCTAGGCAGGGTAGGGACAAACCAGGAGGAGGGAGGGAGGAGGAGACGCCGATGCCGCCCTGTGAGGGAGAGGGAGGGAGAGGAGAAGAACGCATGCGCACTGGCGATCCACGTGCTGGCAGTCCACACAGTGATTCCTGGACCATCCACAGGCCGGATTTAGAAGGCAATTGGGCCTGATCCAGCCCGCGGGTCTTAGTTTGCCAGCCCATGGTCTACGCAATGTTGCTGAGGTGCTCACAGAATCCTACCATTGGCTCAATGGCCAATTAGTTGTCATGTCTCCTGAGGCTCAGAAGTGAGCAGGTGAAGCCTGTGTGGTAGGAACACATCCTAGTAGTGTACGTATGGCAAGATGGTGTGTCAGGAGGGAGAACATGGCTTTACTTTGCGGTTCAGGGGTGCAGCCTGATGAACACAGGGACAGAACTAGTCTCCAAATACTTGAGCCAACTAAAACGCAGGCTGCTCCCTTGTTTCTTCCTGGAGACCCTGAGGATGGAGGTTGAAACCAAGAGGGGTGGCAACTTTACCTCCTATTGAACCAGCTGGTGGTTCCAAATTGCCAGCCTATCAGAAGGTGGCAGTCCAGACCTTTCAAACTTTTTGGTCATTCCATACCTTGGTCTCCCCTTGTCTTCAAAAGAGGGTTGACATTTTGGGGGAGCTGTTTGGTAGCCATGGTTATCAGATTCTAAAAATAAGGGGCTTCCATTATACTTTACAGAGCCACCTTTTATGGGTGATGAAGAATTGTTATTTCTTTGTCACTTTATTATAACTATTATAATTATTCTTAAAGGGGCATCCATATAGAAATGTTGTCACCTGCCAACTGGCCCTTTCAGAACATCTCTCTTTCCCCCCCAAAAAATGAAAATCAGTGCTGAAAACAGCGAACTTCAGTAATAACAGTGTAAAGAGCTGCATGTTAAACCCCTTTGTCTTCAGGAGAAGTTGTGTTTTGTTGGACCAAGCTACAGGAAGGAAGGGGATTCCCTATTCTCTCCGCTGGCTTTAAGACTCTTCACCTTTTCCCTTCCTCACACCACACCACCCTACAAAAATCAAAGGTATCTATCGAATCAAAGCAGCCTTTGATTCTTCGGTGACATCAAAACGCTGTTGTGGCTTCTCTCCACCCCTTCCTGGATATAATAAGAATCAGGGTTTCATGTTGAGATGTCTTTGAGCGGTGCAAAACCAAAGAGGGAGCTTTAGCTGCAAAGCCAGCTGGGCAGTAGAATTCTATTTGCTAACCAGCTGATGGGGGAATGGGTATTGATTGTGCGTTATGTGATGTATTCAACACTAGTGCTACTCAGGAGTACACCCATTGAAATCCGTGGCCATGACTAAATTAGGTTCATTAATTTCAATTGGTGTACTCTGAGTAAAACTTTGTGGGGGACATTTTTCACACCAAGGGCCACATTCCCATCTTGGGCAATCTTCCAGGGGCCACTTGACAGCAGTGGGCATGGCTAGAGTCAACAGTGGGTGGAGCAATAAATGCAAAATTTATCACTGCACTAGTATTACACAGACTGCTTGTATGTTAGTTTGTTTAGACAGAAGTTTGCAGATATGTGAATGGACCCATCTGAGATTTTTAAATACTTTGCAGCTTGGTTCCCCCATCTCTTCTCTCTCTTTTTCTTTTCAGTGTGCTTAAAGGTGAATTAGAACTGTGTTTCATTTCCCTTCTGCTTGAGTTAAGGAAAGGGAACAATCTTCTACGATTCAACTGAATGATTCTGTGCTGCAATGTGGAATAAATTACTCAGTTTATGTTTGCATAATTGCATAGTGAATATTATTGTTAATAATAATGATAAGAATACAGTGCTATTGTTTCTGTTTAACTGCTTAGCATGTAATATTGAAAACATAAAAATAATGATTATATATGCCAACATAATTTAGTACTATTGTTTTTAATGTAAGAATAGCTTTTTCTATATTGTACCTATGGAACGTATGTGCATAGGGATCTTCGTGGACCACCACCCCTAAAAATTAACACCTATCCCCCATCCTCAAAATAATCTTTCTCTCTCACCTGATCCCTTCCTCCTCCAAATACTACCGCCACCTCTTCCAGGGGCGTCTCCGTGTCCTAGCAACGCTCAAGATGGCCTCTCCACCCGGAAGGATTTCTGGTCGTTGTAGTCCAGGGCTGCATTCAACGGCAGCGTCTCCTTCTCGCCTGAAAACTACACTTCCCAAGAGGCGCCGCGGTAAAAAGAGGGGAAGTGGGGCAGGCGAAGCGCGTTTACCTGGACGAGGTGAGGCACGGAAGCGCGGTGGCTGATGGGAGGTGTAGTTTCCGAGTAGCAGGAGGCTCCAGCGGCGCAGGCGGGCCGTAGGGCCCCAGCGGGACTACAAATCCCAGAGAGGAGCGGGAGGGAGCGGGGCAGGGCGCCGCCTCAGGGCGGGGGGTACGAAAGGGAGCCGGTTGGAGTCGGCTGTTGCCAACGGCTGTTGGGTCCGCTCGCTCAGGTGAGGCCGGGAAAGGGGCGCGGGTGGGCGGGGCTTGGCGGGGCTGTCTCCCGTCTTTCCCCCCATTCCTCCTCTCTGAAGGTAGAGCCCCTGAAGAGCCGGAGGAGGGTCCCCCGTTGTCCCTCAGCGAGCATGGAAGGCTCAGGCAGTGGCGCCTCCTGCTCGGGGGGTCGGGAGGTGGGGGGTCGGGTGGAATCTCGCCTTGACGTCACCTGCATTGACCTCCTCCCACTTGACCCTTCCACCCCACCTCCCACAGACAAACATTTGTGGGCATCTAGCTTTGCCCCCCTTTCGCTTCCCATATGTTTGGGGGAGTCTAGTCTAGACTATTTCCTCCCCTCCCCTATGCATTTGGGCTAATATTTTAATATTTTACTGTTTCAATATTTTAATGTTGTATTTTAATCTTGTTTTTAAGTTGTATTCATTCAACTTGTTTTTATTATTGCTTGTTAGCCGCCCTGAGCCCGGCCTTGGCTGGGGAGGGCGGGGTATAAATAAAAATTATTATTATTATTATTATTATCTAACCCTGACCTCCACCTACACACACACACACATATTTGGGGGAGTCTCGTCCTGATACTCCTGTGAACATACACACGGTTGGGGTTTTTTTGGGAGGAGGGGGGTATTTTGCCAGGAGCATTTTGGCACCTGTATATTTTTAGGGACCAAGGGTGAAGCTTATGGGACGGTGTCCTCTTGACTTGTTAAATATTTGGGACAGAAGGTTCCCATCTGTATTTGTTATGAAACTTGGTTCTTGTTTTCATATGCATCTTGATAGATGCTATGGGGGGTTGGAGAAAGAAGTGGGCTAGTTTGGGGGGTGATTTGAAGGATGGCCTGCAGATGGGTGGGGTGTACATAATATATCATTGATATTATTATGTGGTGTTTTGCATATACAGCCAATCAGCTGCCCCCTCCCTTTTCCACTGAACTATAGCTTTACCTGGTGCACACATGACACCTCATGGACCAAGTCTGGTTGGATACTCCCCGCTGCCAACCTGAGTCAGGGGACCTTCGGTACCTACCCTTAAGGTCAGTTGTGCATAAGAAGTGGGGCCTTCTTGATGGTGATCCTGGACCCGAGGTCCTCACCTTGCTCTGTGTAGCCAGTTGTTTAGGTCAGTGTTGAAAACCTTCCTCTCCAATGCTGTATTTAACTTGAGATTCTAATTAGCCTGCGAGTTACAGAGCAGCTTGTTAAAAGTTTTTTTCTGTGCTTGGCAATGTGGATGCTATATCTTTATAACATGCCCTGCTCTGGTGTGTATGTTGCTTTGTGAGGACGTAGCCATCAAGAATATATTTAATAAAGGAGTTAGTCTCTCACAAAGAGAATGGCCCAATATTGGATCTCAGAGATCTCAGGATCTCACCTAGGAAAATGAGGAGAAGCTCCCCTAAAAGGGAGAGTGTTTTAGGCCTCACACCTGTATGTCTGGCTCCCTACAGACACTCTAAACAGAAGTATGTGGGACTGTAAAACAAGCAAGTTCCAATAAGGAGAATATTATTTATTTTATAATTCCACTTAATATCCCATCTTCTTCCAAGGCATACAAGGTGAGGTACCTTTTGTCCTCAGAAGAGCTTTGTAATGAAGGTTAAGCTGAGATAGTGACTGGCTCAAGTTCACCATTGTAAGAATAGTTTTGCATGGTGTTTGTTGTGGGTGCATTTCCCCCATCTGAATTTTATTTATGATAAATAAGTGGGAATGTCTTTACTCCTTATTGAAGTGGGGCGGGGAGTATCTGGGCTCTGGCATCAGATTTTTACAGAGAGGCATATCTTGGGTTCCCTTATTAATTTGACTTTTAAATGATCAGGTGACAGGAAAGTGCCTGAGAGCTGCTGCTGCTAGCCAGAGCAGACAATACTGGGCAAGATGGAGAGCTTTACCTGGTGCACACCTGACGCCTCATGGACCAAATGAGGAAGTTTGGTGGGCCTAGTTAGACCTGCTGACTGGGTACTGGGTCTGGCCTAGTATAAACAGCATTTTCGTGTTTCTGTGTTGCAGTTTTAAAGGAAAAGCAACACATGGCATCTCAAAAGATTAACTGACTCATTTTGGTAGTGTGCTTGTGGAGAAAATTACCTGGTACCATGTGCATGCAGCAGGCAAAGAATGTAATGGATATACGAGCAACTAGACAATACAGCCTGTACTCTGCATCTATAGATAAAGTTGGCAGTGGCTGTTGCAAGTTTTCTCATTTCTACAATTCAGTAATGCTTTTAGGTGTGTCATGGGAACTCTCACAGCTACTGAGTACTGTTCTGAAAAAGCTTCATGTTCTGAGCTGCATATATCCAATTCTTCCTTTTCCTGCTAATTGGGGTGTGTTTGAGGTATGTGTAATAAAAATGGAAACTGCTGCGAAGGTTCCTTAATTTTTGAACTGCTTGGTGAGACCGGAGCATCTTACATAGGTGAGTGGAAGCATCTGTGCATTGGAGTTTGACCCCTGTACCCATGAGGACTATAAACGTGACTTCCTTATTGAGCAGGACAAGCATAAATTATCCAGTGAAAGAAACAACAAAATGACGAACAAAATGAATTTCAATAGGGACAAATGTAAGATTCTGCATGTATGCAGGAAGAACCAGCTATACAACTATAAGATGGGGGGACACCTGGCTTGCCAGTAGTACATATGAAAAGGATCTTAGTAGACTACAAGCTTAACATGAGTCAATAGTGTGATGTAGCAGCAAAAAAACCTAATGCTATTCTAGGCTGCATCAACAGAAGTATAGTGTCCTGATCAACGGAAGTTTTAAAATGTGGCTCTTTTGGGGGCGCGCGTTATTGGATTATTGTTTTGATTTTGATTTTATATAGAGTAATACCTCTGGTTACATACCATCCTCCTTGTGAACGCTTCAGGTAACCAGCTCCACTAACCCGGAAGTAGGTGCTCCTGGAAGTGAACTTTGCCTCGGGATGTGAGTGGAAGTTGCATGCCAAAGGCACGTGAGCAGTGGGAAGCCCCATTGGCAAAAGCGCACCTCATGTTAAGAACGGCTTCAGGATAAGAACAGACCTCCGGAACAAATTAAGATCGGAAACGGAGGTACCACTGTATTGTGATCTTTTTTCGTGAACCGTCCTGAGAACTCCGGGTATAGGGCAGTTTATAAATTCAATGAATGAATGAATATTACTACTCTATTCTGTTTTGATCAGACCACACCTGGAGCCTTATGAGGAATGGTTGAGGGAACTGGGTATGTTTATGCTGGAAAAGAGGAAACTAAGAGGAGATGTGATAGCCAATGGCTACAAGTTACAAGAAAAGAGATTTCAATTAAACATCAGGAAGAACTTTAAGACAGTAGGAGCTGTTCAACAATGGAATGGACAAGGTGGTGGATTCTCCTTCCTTGGACGTTTTTAAGTGGAGTTTAGATGGTCATCTGTCATGTATGATGTAATTGAGATTCCTGCATTGCAGGGGGTTGGACTAGATTCCATCCAACTCTACAATTCTGTGATTCTATGAAAAATGATCTGGAGCAGGACTGGGGGTTGCTGTGCCTTGATTCTGTTTCCTTGTTTTGTATGTCTCCATCCCTGGATAGAGAAACCTTTCGTATTGGGGATGTCCTGTAGCAAAAGTTTCATCCAGCTATGGCAGCTAGAGGTTTTTTATTATTATTATTTAAATGACTGTTACATAAAAGACAGCTGTGTAATTTAATACACCAAACTGAAATAAGTCACCATTACTGCTGGAAGCAAGGCTGTCCAAAGGGGAGAGGAATGGGCATGGTGCCTTAAATAATAAATTGGTCAGATTCCTGGAATGGGCAGGGGATGTCATTCAAACTTCTTGAAGGTGTTGATGAAGGAAAATTTGTTTGTATATTTAGCAGACAATGCAAGGCCCAGCAAGAAATAGAGGGGTGGGTGGAGAAGCATTGCATTTCTGGCAGGAAAAGGATTCCAAACTTTGAGTTAAGAGAGGGGCTGTGACAGCCTTGAATTTTCTTGGCTTCTCTGACTTCTGAGCCTTTCTCTGCAATATCCTGTTGTCTGATAAGTCCTAGCCAGGCATATTTCAAATAAAGTGTTTCAATCCTTTTAAGAAGGTTGAACTATCTAGCTGGGGCTTTAGAGTCTGGTATTCTCTCTGCATCCACAACTCTCGCTATACTGTGTGCATTTTGTAAGTCTCACATAGTCTTGAGTTTTTCTGGGTTGTGTTTGCACTAATTCCTGCAGCTGTACAAGAATCGTGATGAGTCAAAGTTGGCTAGAGCTACCAGCAGAGCAGGCTGTGCAACTGTTGGCAAACTGTAAAAAAGGGGGGGATGACCCCTTCTCGAGATGCCAGAAGTTTCCAAAATGCCAATGGCTGAGTCATCTCACTGTGCTTTGGCAAGTAAAGCCCTGTCAGTCTTAGTGTGTTCTTGTCTAGAAACTTAGCCGAGAGACCTAGCTGCCCTGAAAAAATGGCAGAACCATGGGAACATTCTTTGGGGAAAGACAGTAGCTCAGTGGTAGGAAATCTGCCTTGCATGCAGAAGGTTCCAAGTTCAATCCCCAGCATCTCCAGTTATGGCAGGGAGAATCTCCAGTCTGAAACCTGGAGAGTTGATGCCAGTCAGTGCAGACAGTACTGAGCAGGATGAACCAATGGTCTCTTGACTCTGTAAAAGGCAGCTTCCTGTGTTCCTGTGTCTTGCTGGATGCACCTAGGATATGGTGTCCAAATTTCCAACACAGATCATCATTGCTGAGGCTCTACACTCTGATCACAACCTTAAAGGTTAGAACTTGGTGAAATAAATGGCACTGTTCACTATAGACCTTAGCATGAAGTACAGTGGTACCTCGGGTTAAGTACTTAATTCGTTCCGGAGGTCCGTTCTTAACCTGAAACTGTTCTTAACCTGAAGCACCACTTTAGCTAATGGGACCTGCTGCTGCTGCCGCACCGCCAGAGCACGATTTCCGTTCTCATCCTGAAGCAAAGTTCTTAACCCGAGGTACTATTTATGGGTTAGCAGAGTCTGTAACCTGAAGAGTATGTAACCTGAAGCGTATGTAACCCGAGGTACCACTGTAGTTGCTTTAGGCAGTGAGTTCTACAGAAAGTCTGACATTCCTCTTTCTGCAGTGTGTGTGTGTGTGTGAGAGAGAGAGAGAGAGAGAGAACTTTTCCTTTAAGGTACAAAACTGTCTATGGTCAGCCCTGGAAAATTTTGAGAACACATTGACTGTGTGTGTTCGAAAGCTCAGGAATTGAAATGGGTTTGAGGATCTGCCCTACATTTACTCTATTATTTTGAACCTTTATTTCGCACAAAGTGGACCAGGTTCTGCTAATGAGAAAGCCCTGAAGTGCAAAGGTGGTGTTCATGCTCCCAATAGTCAAGCCTTGGGTTTCTATTGTCTGCTGCAATGCTTTCTTCAAGACTTCCGAAACAACCTTACTGCTTTTTTTTTTTTTTTTTTGCCTGGGCCCCAGAAACCTCATTACTCTGGGCACTATCTTGGATAATGGGGTGGACCTGTACATTCTTCTTTCTTTGACTTTCCTTACAACTTCTGAACTTTTTAAAATAACTTTAAAAAAAACAAAAACCATTTGCTGCCAATTTTATTGCTTTCTATTCTGCTCTTAGCAGCAGGTTTTATCGACTCCTGCATGTCACATTTTACAGCCTAAGATGCTATTCTGTTAGTGACCCTAATTTATATCCGTTTTCCTACTTCCATTTCCCACTCACCCCTATGTGAGGGTGTGTGGGTTTTAAAAAGTGACCCACAAGAGCCTGTGTTTCTCAGATATAGCCAGAAAGCCCTTGTGCACGAGAACAGGTTAAAGGCCTATCTAGTCCAGCTTTCTTTTCTCAGAGTGATTAACCAGAAGCCCACAAACAGGACACGAGTGTAACTCTGTGACCCTGCTGTGTAAAATGCATGCCATTATTATGCCATCACAGTGCATGGCACTTTTACAGATTAACGAACACAGAAAAATGCCTTCCCCAAAGAGCTGAAAATTGAAAAGTCAATGGAGGGGGAGGATATATATATGCATACTGTTCCGTTACCCATATGTGGTCTTAGTGCCCCCCGCATCTAATGGTTTGTGTGGAATGACTTCACAGAGAAGTTGAGCTTTAAAGTGGGAGATAGACTCTGAAGGTAAAATGACAAGTAGACTGTGTTGGATTTGTGAGTGGAGAGAAGAAAGACGACACAGTTGACATTTAAGGTGAAGCAGAAGCTGGTCTAATTGTCGAAGGTGATGAATTCTGAATAGAAGGACGAAGGTTAAGGAATGACAATGAAAAGTTTGAGAGAAGAAGGTTGTGATGGTCTTGATGACGTGATTTTTCCTCCCTTGTAGGGGCTGAAAGTAGGAGCTGTGGGGCAACCTGAGATGTGAGAGCACAGGACACAGGAGCCAACTCCTAGGGGCCAAGGGGGCTTCAGTCCCCCCATAAAATATTTAATAGGACTGGGTCCCCCCAAAGTTGATGGGCATTGCCATTCAAATGGTGTGCATGCACCGTGTCATGTGATCGATTTTGTGGGGTGGGGCTTACCTGGCTCTCCCCCCCCCCCCAATATTTTATTCAAGTTGGCACTCCTGGCACAGGATGCTATGAAAAGTATGTGTGAATAAAGTTCCAGTGAGGAATAGGACCTTGAGGTGGGTGGCACCTTCTTCCTCTCCTTCCAAAGGCACAGGCCAGTTAAATATATCTATTGCTAAAATAATTTATATGCTGCTTTTAAACCAGAAGTTAACAATGTGGTCCACAACAAAACTTGTTTGTTTGTTTTTAGAAAAATATTTGGATACTATTTCATAAATGAATGAATGAATTTCATAAATGAATACCAAAAAAAGTTTAAAACAGACATAAATTCATCATTGTGGAAACATGTACTCTTAATATCTTGCATACTCCTGGCAGAATATAAACCTTTTCAGCAGATGATCCTCTAGTGTAAAACATATGAAACAGCATTACGGTTCTTTAAAATTGCATCTGAGGTATCTAAGGGCCAGTAAAAACTGGTAAAATTAACAAAGGCCCAGGAAAATCTAACTGAAGAGGAGTTTTTACTAGTCAATGAAATACTGTATATCTTCTGTCACCTGGATATCGAGAGAGTCTCCATTCTGCAAAGGGGGTGCCAGCGGAGAGAGCCTGTCTCCAAGTGGCCATTAGATAAAGATCAGCAGGAGGAGGCAGGACCAAGAGGGCTTCTTCTGATCACTGTGGTGGGCAGGTAGATCTACACAGGTGGAGCCATTGTTTCAGATAGCGTGGTCCTAATCTGTGTATGGCCTTGAAAGTTGCCAGCAGTACCTTTAAATTTGGCTCTGGAGCAAATCGGCAGCTAACACCTTTTTCGCAGCTCTGGTGATGTCGGTGTTATATGGTTTCCCACTTAGGAGTCTAGCTGCAGCCTATTGCTTCCAAACTTGCCGCCATCACTGCATCCCAACTGCCCTGTCCCCACCTGATTGTATTTGCAGGCCTGTTGCTTTATTTTAATGTCTCTTTTTAGGGAGGGTTCAGAAACATCCTGCTCTGTTCCTCTAATGCCAGTATTGAGATTCATGCCCAGTCCACAAGTCCTGGCTTCCCACAGCTTGTATGGACCTGCCTGTCTGCCAGGATCTCTGCATTGTCACTTGTGGGAAAAGATGCTGGCAGAGGGGCAGAAGAACACAAAAGGTGCAATGAATTCAGGAAACCTCACCCCAAGCTCAAATGGGTTGAGAAACACTGAATTACTTGACTAGTGCTCTTCCTGTATGTGGCTTATGGTGTTTTCTTGCACACTGACATAGCTTGAGCAGATAAGGCTGCAGTTGGATGCAACTGGTGATGGACAAACTGTGGTTAGCATTAACCTCCAAATCATGGTTTTGAAGTGGGCTTGCAAACCATTATTGCTGGATCCAGATGTCTCAGCAAAGTGTGGTTAGAGCCACCGAGAATGGGGTGAGAGAGTGTGTTGCGGGGGTGTCAGTGGGGGGAGGGAGCATGCCAGCCCAAGATGCTTTCCTGATGGTCTGAATCGAGATTTGTGCGTAAAGGATTCATTTTCAGCTTAATTCCAGCTAAATAACAAGTATAAAATCTGGTGGTAATAACAGCTATTTTTCAAGTCAAATGAATTGTGCCTTTTGTCTGCTCCTAATAGATGAGCCTTCAAAGACCATTGTTTGAGCCACAATCCTAGTTAATATCCTGCTTTGACAGTCTTCTCTTTATTTTAATCAGCTTAAATACTGAAGCATTAGATATCTTTACAGCCACTATCACCGAAACCTACTTTAGGAGGGGGAGGAAGGATTGCTTAGCATAGCAGAATAACTGTAACCTTGTGTACGTTGTGTTGGCTTCATGCGTTTTGCTGAACAACTGTAATGTTTGAGAGAGATCCTGCTGTTTTTCTCTTGGGATGAGTAAATAGGCTCAGTTGGGAATGTCCCACTTCTTGCCTGTCTGTTGTGAAGGGCCCCTGGGATAGGTCCCTGAATAACTGGGACAGCATATACACAGTATATATACTGCTCCAGTTTAGAGTGGTGCAGTCTATAAATTAATAAATAATAATGACAATATCTTCTGTCTGCATGGTGCTTGGAGCTTAACCACGGTCCATCAAGTCTCCCGTTTCAATCATAAATCTACCATACGTTTATTTGTTGGTCTTGGGTACGCTGCTATCTCTTGGCCTCCATAGTCCCTGACTTCTTTGCTGGGTATGGGAACCTGCCTGGGAAGTTGGTGAGTCAAACCAAGATGACAGCCAGCACTAGTGCCAATCTAGGGGTCCCTGTGTGCCAGGGGGCACACAAATTTTGGGTAGGTGCTCAACACCCACACCACGGGGCTCTGATACGACTTCCAGTTTCTACATGCAAAGCCTCAGAAGTGACCACTGGTAGAAACTGGAAGTGGCATCGGAGGTCTTGCGAGGCCTCCGACATGACCTCCGAGGCCCTGGAAGCGCTGCTGTGGCGCCAATGTAACATGATGTCATGACATCATGTTACATCGCAGGTGTCACTGGGCACCCACAATTGGGGGGCCAAGTCAGCACCCCTGACAGCAAGTAAGAGGACAAACGACCAATGTCGAAACCGCTGGGAAGAAACAGGCTGGATTAGTGGCCAACTGTGGGTTTGGTGACAAAGGAGAAGTTGCTGGCCTGTTTGCAGGTCCTGGAGACCTCATGGAACATCCTGGCTGCTTCCCAAGTAGTATATATAAAGGGGAACCTAGGAAGCTGCCTTATGCTGAGTTGGACCATTGGGCCGTCTAGCTCAGTCTGGTTCATAGCCATCTAGTCTGCATTGACTGTTTGCAGCTCTCCAGGCAAGAAGTCTCTCCCAGCCCCACCTGGAGATGGCGGGATTGAAAATGCAATCTTCAGCATTCAAGGCAAATGTTCTACCACCGAGCTACAGCCTTTCCCCCAGGAGGTGATGGAGCAGTGGCCCTATCCCTTTGTCAAGATCCCAGGGTTAGCTGGAAGAAGCTGTTTTGGGTGCCATAAAACAGGCTCCATTTCCTTATCCCAGGCTACAAAGAAATCTGGAATCTGGCTCCATTGGGGGAAAGCTTTAAAAAGGGCACCCGCCCGCTGAGGCACAGAACTGCTGAGAAACTGACTGGACTATTGACTCCATAGGTGTGAGGTAAGAATGACTGAGAATTGTGTATATCAAAGCCCTTTGATCACTCTGGAAGTGTTCAATACGTTCTAAGGAGCCCTCTCACTGGATTTATCCAGTGTGATGCTGTGAAGTGAATCTTGAGGCCAAGCTGACATCGAGCAGTTCCAGTAGGCATGCTGGTCCCCCAGCAGTTAACACGTCCCTTAACAAAATATAGGCTCCAACAGAGTGAAAAACACAAAACAGTTCAGTCAAAGAGAGAGGCATATCAGTTCTTCTGCAAGTGAAGATAAATCCAGTGTCCTGTCCTTGATGAAACAGCCTTGGGGCAGATATCCTAATTTTTAGTATAATAATTTGCAGCTATGAAAAGCTCCTCGTAAATGCATTGTCTGGTTGAGAAGTGCCATTATGAGCATTGAGGCTGGGAAACGGAGGTTCCTAGCTCAAACCAGTGAGTCTGATTGCTGATGGTGCATCGGTCATTCCAACAGCAGTTAGTTACATAGATTACACATGCTGTGGCTTCGAGGGATTTTTTGTTGTACGTTGCTGAAGATAGATGCTTTTGGATGAGTGGTGAGCATGCTTGTTCAAACAATCCTCTTCAGGTTCTCTGCCGCAAATGAAGCAAGGGCCGGTGGCAGCTTGCGCAAAGTAACCACGATGATGATGGATGTGTTAGCAAATGTCTGTAAACAGAGCCGCTCTTCTCTTTGCCGATCTCTTCTTTTTTTAACATCTTGAGGAAACAATCTCCACATTTTTAGAGAAGCCGGAGTCGCTTAAAGAAAAAGCAACAGTTATTTAATACACTTTGTCACTGGAAGTAAGTAGGTGGGCTGTGGTGTGTTTTGTTGGCTTGAACATTTCAATTGCAATGTATCGACCCATTTACCAGTTAGGATAGTAGCTGTTGTGAACAAACATTAATGGTAAAGGTAAAGGGACCCCTGACCATTAGGTCCAGTCACGGATGACTCTGGGGTTGCAGCGCTCATCTCGCTTTACTGGCCAATGGAGCCAGTGTACAGCTTCCGGGTCATGTGGCCAGCATGACTAAGCCACTTCTGCCGAACCAGAGCAGCGCATGGAAATGCCTTTTATCTTCCCACCGGAGCGGTACCTATTTAACTACTTGCACTTTGATGTGCTTTAGAACTGCTAGGTTGGCAGAAGCAGGGACCAAGCAACAGGAGCTCACCCCATTGAGGGGATTTGAATCACTGACCTCCTGACCGGCAAGCCCTAGGCTCTGTGGTTTAACCCACGGCGCCACCCAGCTTCAAATACAGAAACTGCCTGTTGCTGTCACATCAGCCAATGTTGGCAAAGCACAGGAGCATCGGAAGCTACCTTAAAGCAAGTCAGACTATTTGTGCACCTAGCCCAGAATTACTCTGACTCTTTCTCTCTTGGATCTTGGGCAAAGAGGTCTCTCGCGTCGGCTGCCATCTGGCCAAATTTCTGGCATCTCCTGTAAAGAATGAATCTGGGACCTGAAAAACACATTCTTTTCTGATCCCATTTCAAGTTCAGTCCCTGTTATCTGTGGGTAGGGCTTGCAGTGTCTGAAACCCTGGAGATCCACTCTGTAGTAGACTAGTGGCTTAGCTCAGTATTGGGCAACTTTTAATGTTCCAAGTTTATTTAAAACTATTCAGAGCCATCACTTAAATGGCTCACAGGACTTGGTAAGCCATCTGCGGAAGGCTTAATCTTATGTGTTGTTTGCAAGAGGGATCTCATGAACTCCCTGCTATCTTGCCGGGCCTCTTCATGCTCTTCTATCTTGCCCTTGTCTCAGCCCTTTCTTCAATGGCTCCCCAGGACCTGCTGGGCATTGTAAGGAAACAGTGGCCACCAAGCAGCCAGTGGGATTCAGCAGCAGTATGGCACTCACCCAGCCAGTACCTCAGGATTTATTTATTAAATTTACACATTGATTTTTGGGCAAGAATTGGCTTACAACATTTAAAATCCAGCAGCCAGGTACAATAGGGAAATGTAGATAGGTGCGATCTCTCATTTCTGGTCCCTGATGGAACCTGGAACTTGTTAACGATCTCTTCCTTCCAGTGGAAGGGAACAGAATGTGCAATGGGCTCTGTCTGTTTCTGATAGTGAAGAGATCAACCCACCAACTTGGATCTTCCTTTTATCTGCAGGCGCTTCCGTCCCCCTGGCAATGAAACACTAGCGGAGCAACCATTGTTCACATTTTATAATGGAAACATTCCAAACTAGGTGCTTGGCCTGAATCTTTAGGCGGCCCTTTGACTTAAAAGGAATGTGATGAAATCGTCACAGAAGGTTGTCTCTGGGATGCACCATTTATTTGAGTTTATAGATTTGGCTTAACCCCAGGCAGTTAGCTATATCAGGTAACAACAATTTCTTCCTTTCTTCTTTGTGAAAGGAACAAGTCTCCGAAGGGCCCGCAATCTAAACTTGTACATGTCTCCTTTAGATGCTCCAAATGTCAAAAGCATGAATAGCGTTGGACTTTGATGGAGTACAAGCTTTGATATCTCTGTTTGGTTTAGGCACAAGAACAGTAGCTCTGCACGTCGTCTTTTTTCAGGTTTTCCCATCTTCCTCTTTTTAATATGCCTGTATCACCCCCTTGATGTGTCAGAACTCCTAGAAGTGAGTAGGCAGGGCTGGTTACGAGGAAGATGATGGATGAAGAATGTTTATTCCTTCCTTGAGCTCAGCAAGCTAAATTTAGTGAAGTTTTTGGAGATGAAGGGAATGCTTCATCTTCTAAGGATGAAGACAGGGGCAGAAGAGGGGTGGAAGCATCCAATTATCACTTAAGAGAAGCATTTTTCCCTAATCTTGATTTATCAAAAACCCAATTTGTTCTGTTTAGATGGTGTGGCTTCCTTTTCAGATTTTGTTCCCTCTCCGCCTTCCTTTTGAATCTGGCCAAGATTGCGTTTATGTTACTGGGAGCTTCTCAGTTTGTGAATATAAAATTAGAACTTAATAACAGCCTCATAAATAGGTTCACACAAGTTATTAGCAAACAAAATTTTACTGGATGGCAATTCAGTTTATGTTACTCATGGCACAGGGTGGAAGGGAAAGAATCTTCTTCTTCTTCCTCTTCTTTTGAAAAAGCCTAACAACACAGGAAGAGGCTGCTGGATCAAGCCAATGGCTCAGCATCCTATTCTCACAGTAGCCAGTCAGATGCTTGTGGGGAAACCACAAGGAGGACCTGAGCACAAGAGCTCTCTTCTCTCTTGCCATTTCCAGCATTGGTATTAGAAGCATTACTGCCTTCAACCATGGAGGCAGAGCATAGCATTCATGACTTGTAGTCGCCACTGGCCTTCTCCCATACACCAGAAAGAGGTCACACGGAGAATGGTGACTTCCATCCCTGAGCTGATACACTAGATCTTGATAGTGTCATAGCTCTTTCCTAAAGTTTTTATTTCCTAGACTTTCGTTCATCATGGACTGAGCGAGTTTCAGCCGCTCAGCCTCCCCACTTCCTTGCCTTGGAGGTTGTCTGTGGGCTCTGCTGCCTAGCAGGCAGAGGTCAAATGTTGAAGGAGGGCAAAGAATGAGGGCAGCAAATGCCACCTGAATAATCATGGCACCATAGGGCTGCCATGTTTGTATCTCTTATACCAGACTTTAAAATGTGGCTTTGATTTTATTCCAATAATATTTTGTGGAGCAGCTTTGAGAGCCTTGGGGGAGCTATATAGCGGGATAGAAGCATTCCAAATAAAATCCATGCTGGGGTTTTAAAATAACATTGAGCATCTTGCTGGTACAGTAAGGCTTCATTAATGGAATTTTATTTTATCTCGCCCATCTTTTAAGAAGCACCCAATAGCATAGTCTTCTCTCTCACAAGCACAGACACACACAATATTATCCTCACATACCCATTATTGCCTCCAAACAAGACTGTAAGGTCAGTTAAGCTAAGAAAGGGCAAAAGCAAAAGTTGACCCAGCCCTCCCAAACCACCTCTTCCGTCTCCCCTTAAGATGCAAAGCCTTTCCAAGTAGTTCAGAAAGAATAGGCATAGCTTACTACCTTGTAAATGCCACGTATTCATGTGCACTGTGCAAAGTACTTAATGTGGAACTTTCATTTGGGTTGTCTCTTTATCCTCTGTGTACCCTTGAGAAGTCAGGGTTCCCATGTTCCCCTGATTCGATATCTGCCCGTTGCATCTGAATGCCATTTTCTGGGAATCTTGGGTGGAGAGAGAGCTGTGGTGCTTGGGTCTGGCTTACGGGCTTGTTGTGGGCATCTGGTTGGCCACTGTGAGATCAGGATGATGAACTAGGTGGGCCTCTGGCCTAATCAAGAACCAGGCGCTGCTTCTGATAGACGGATTGCTGAGACTAAGCTGGGAGGTGAATGCATATAATTAGCAAAGTCTAGGGAAACTTTTCTCTCTTGGGTCCTTCAGAGCAATTAACATTTAATTGGTACTGCCTGTGAAAGCAAAGGCAGGGGATTCTCAGGCCTTGTAAACAGCCATTTGCCTGCTTCTTGGTGGCAGGTGGAAATTTGCCTCCTGGTCCTGACAACTAGGCTGGCAGGCGTCTGTGAACCAGAATAGAGTTAGGAGGCCACCAACATGGCAGCATCCCAGTCGTCGTATGCCTGTTTTTCATGCAAAAGCTCCCAGTTATCAGTCTCCAGCATCCCCTGCCGATCAGAGCAAATAGGCCAGGGCTGGAAGGACAAAGCTGGACTCGGCATAAGGCAGCTTCTTGTGTTTCCAGGTGTGGCTGACTGAGCTCACTAAAATTTGCTAAACTTCCATGTTGAGACTTGTGCACCAGCTCAGCAAGGCTGAGCAAAGCTGCTGCAGTTTGTAATCTGAAGTGCAAACTTCTGTAAAGTCTTCAGGTCTGTCTCCTGGCCGGGAGGGAAGAAAGGCTGAGTGTGTTGTGTGTGCTGTCTGAAAAGCCATTTCTGTTTTTGGTCATTCTCTCTCCCGGTCTCGTATTGATCCGGTATAGCTGAGTGCTGCACCCAGTTGCTTTCTGCTCCCAATGAGGTTTTTATCGGCGACGGTGCCAGGCAGTTGCTGTTCCCATCTGCAACCTCATTGATTCCGGGTGTGGAACAGGCTCTGCTTTGAGCCCAACTGATAAGGCTCCCAGTTTCTTAGCAACCACACATGTCTTGCATGAGCAGAAGCTTGTCCTACTGCAGTAGCAGTGACAATCCTGAATGTCTCCAAATTAGCACCATTTTTTAAAATGAAAAGCAAGGTAAGGTGCCTGCTTTTCCCCCACCCACCCCCCTTGAGATCTTTGGTCCACGGTTCTTGTGTGAAGTGGGGATTATGGGAGCTCTTTGTACGTTCTCTGCAGCTGAACTATTTCTCTTTCTTTCTTTCTTTCTTTTAGACTTCCCTCCTTATTTAGTATGGCTGTGCCATGTGTTCTCCTCCTAACTGTTCTTGGGGTGGAAGTAAACAGCAAATCCTCTGACAGTTTGGTATGTATTTTGCAGTGAATTAAAAGCCTCTAAACAAGGCTAGTTCTATCCTTTGAGTCCTGGTGCCTATCCAGAATTTGAGAAACACGGTGACCTCTGCTAGTGTGTGAAAACAGTCAAGATCCAAGGATCCCCAGACATTCACCTCCAGATGATGGAGAAGTCGGGCGTCATCCTGCCACCTGGGCATTGTCACTTGGTCACAAGTGGTCGAAATTTTGAACACCAGTCACAGCAAGCAACATCTTAGAGCCAGGGTGGGGATATCTGTGACGTGCCAGTTTTTGATAGGCCACAGCCCTGTCCTTTGGCAGCGATCACTGGGACACATGGGGATTGGAGTCCAACATCTGGAGGGTCAGAGGTTTCCCACCTCTATATTAGAGTAGTCTCTGCTACGTGTAAGTGAAGGAGGAGTCCTTCTTTTAAGAATGCACCTCCCAGGCATGCACTTGTAAATATTGGATCATGCGAGAGGATGCCAATTCTTTTTAACCAGGTTGGTATGAGCCATCGAAATATGGTTGAAAGTTGGTGAGCATTGCCTGGTAAGTTCCCAGAAGCCAGATGTGAGCTAAGCATGACATTTAGGGTTGGGGGAGCAGGGACTTGGTTTTGTGCATAGCCATCTGTTCACCTGTTCGCGGTGGTGGGTGGTGTCCATCAGGACGAGGAGGGTGTAAGGTAGGGAGCCCAACAGTGGGTGGAGCCAGAACCAATGACGGGTGCAAATGCAGCCAATGGCAGGCAGAGCTACCTGATTCTGATTTTGACCCCATCCTTCTCCTCCCTGCTGAGTTCTACACGGGTCGCATCTGAGACTGAGGAGGATAAAGCTGACTGCCAGGGCCACCCCTGGACTGGCTGATAGTAAGAAGGCAGGCAGGCAGAGGTTGTCCGAGGTTGGTGGGGCAGTGCCCCCCACATTTGTCCTAATGGGCCAGCGTCTACCATCTCTCCTGCCCCATTACTGGTTAGAAACAGCATTAAACTATTCAACATATGTAGATCTCTGCAAATCGGCTGGCTTTGCATGCTTTATGCTAGGGGGAACTGACTCTCCAGATGTTGTTTGGCTGCAGCTCCTATAATCCCTGGCCTTGGGCCATACTAGCTGAGGCCGATGGCAGGTGTAGTCTAGCAACGTGGAGGGCAGCACGTTGACTACTACTGCTTTATACAGTTATTGCAGTCCAGATGTCCTTATTACAGGATTCTTTTAATATAAATATATATAGGACAATATTTGCACACTCCTCATTTATAAACTGTGCAAAGTGGGGAATCTTTCTCCTCTGAAGCGGAGCAACCTAGCCCGCACATCTGTAAAAGTAATCCATATTATGCTTTCTGTGTGTGCCGTTCTGTGTCCTCCTCCCCTTCTGTCCTTCCACCAGATGGATGAAGCCTGCCCCAATCATTACAGGTTTGATTTACAAAGCCGATCAAGGCTGAGTGATACACTCTTTCCCCCATGTGTGCTTTTAATCTCCTTTACCTGTTTGTTTGTGGGTGACTCATCATATTCATCTTGATTTAGAGCCTCTAAGGAAGAGGAGGGTGGGTTACTTGTACTGTACAGTAACAGAAGAATTCCCTGAGCTGCAGGCTTGTAGTCTAATTTTAGAAAAACCTGCCCTCTTTCGCTGAAGAAAATCCCGTTCCCGGTAAGAGGATAGCCGTTTGTTGCAACGCCTCACGATCTCACCAGGTTGTTATCAAGTTGCTTCCAGATACAACTCAAAAAGGGTTCGATCTAACCTTTTCTGAAAGCCCTAAACTGTCTGGGTCCAGAATACCTCCTCCTCCCAGACAAACTTGCTTGGCGTGTTAAGATCTTTTACAAATGCCTTTTTCTATCCGGCCACCCATTTCACTTCTGAAGGCCAGGGCTACCAGGGGTGGGGTCTTGGGAGAGGAACTGCAGCTGAGTAGTTCTTTCCTGCATGAGATCTAAGGTTCATAATCTGCCTTTGCCTATTTAAACCATGCTGGACTCATTGCTAAGCCAGGAGTGTTTTTCATTGAGGTTGTATTTGGGCCTTAAATTATTTTAAAATCTTGATTTAATTGTTGTCGTGGGGGTGGTGGCTTTTTTTAAGTGGAGTATAAATGTGCTAGATTATGAATAGGGACTACTTCCCAAGATCTGCTCTACCTTGACTAAGAACCCAGAACGGATTGTTATCTCCTCCAGACCAGGAGTTTGGAAGCTGAAGTCCTCGGGTTAAAATGCAGTTCTCTCTGTCTGGCCCTGGAGACCCTCCCGAGCCACACCTCCTTCTCAGGCCACGCCCTCTCTTCCTGGGCCACACCCCTCACTGGTTCTGATCTGTACCCACCTCAGGTCCTTTTGTGTGGCTAGAATGTGCCCTCAAACTGGGTGATCCTTCTTGCTTGCCTCTTGTTGACCGCTGGAGAGGTGTGGGTATAGATGGGGGGGGGGGGATGTTGCCTACTCTACAAATTTCTCGTCCCTTGTTATGCTCATGTTTGCCTCTGGTGCCCACCCACCACTGGTATGCCCCCCTGCCCAAGGTTGCCATTTCACCCGTCTGAAGCAAGAGACATTTGAGATAGCAAATTTTTCATTTGTAATTTTTATCTGTGAAACAGGCTATAGTATTTCCGCAAAGCAGCTTAGTCCCCGCTTAAAATTCAACGCACAGTGCCAGTGGCAGGTGCTGTGTCTAAATGAAATTATTATTTATTTAGTCGGCAAATTTCATAGCCTGCTTTTCTGCAATTGTTCTGGCGGCAGGTTACTGTTAAAGTGGGGTTGGGGAAGTACCAATAAAGTTGCAGCGATAGCAATAAAACATTGTCAAGGGAGAGAAGCAAACAAAGAGCTTGGCAATCGGGCAGCACCTTAGTCATAAAAAGGCTTGCCTGAAGAGACCTTGACGGCTCACTTGAAAGGGCCACGTCTCCCGAAGTTGTCTCGCCAAGCTCAGTGGCGGGTTTCTTAGTAATTGGAGTTTCTCATGTCATTGGAAATTTCCTTGGCCCCAGCTCCATAAAGCTACTTTTTAAAAAGCATGCTAATTAATAATTAGCAAGAATCTTCAGCGGTAGAAGCGTCACTTTTCTGAACCCTTCAAGGAACAGTTTTATGGAGAGATCTTAGGCCAGTTTCCTGTCAAATAGCAAAAAGGATACATATGGTTTATAGATACTGTCTGTCATGACTGTCTGGGCGCATCTCTGCATATTCCAGAAAGGAGCAGCTCCCTTGCCAACGTGCGTGAGTGTGCGTCCGTGCAAACATGCGCCTCCTCCACAACCTCATCCCTTGTTTCAAAATGTCATGCATGTTGTTGACAAGAAATATATGGCATCCGCCTTCTCGTCACAGCATTTTTGCCTGAAGAAGAGCTGGCGTGTTGTTGCTTCCCTCCCTATGCTGTGTTGGCACTTTTGCATGCACCCAATGAACATTGGAAAAGCATAATGTTCCACTCATGCTCTGCTTGCGTGTTCTGAAAGTACGCTGAACCCCTTACTCCTGCTTCCTCTGGTTCTCCGCTTGTCTTCAGCTGCCATTTTGGATGGGCCGTTTCAGAGCGTGTGGACCCTATTTCTATAGCATGGTTAGCCAATCAGACCCAGTGGCCCAAGCTGGGAGTTTGTGACACTCTGGCACAGGGTTAGGGTTATGCATAGGAAGCTGCTTTCTACCGAGTCAGATCATTGGACCATCAATCTCAGTACTGCCTGCACTGACTGGCAGCCAATCTCTGCGGTTTCAGGCAGGGAGTCATTTCCAGCCCTACCTAGAGATGCCAGGGATTGAACTTCAGGTCTTCTGCATGCAAAACAGATACTCTACCAATGAATACTGCCTTCCCCTGCTCCCCACTTGGCAAACATAGAACTGGGGTGAAAAATGGTCGTTTGGGTTCTGCTGGTAGATCTCTGGATATTTTGCAATAGGCCGGCAAAAGGTTTCTGTCTCCCAATTGGTCTAACAATTGGCACAACAAAAGGGGCTTTTCCTTCTCTCCCGCCCCCTTGTCCCCTGCTGAAATGAATAAACCTGGGGACGGGATTACAAAGGGTAGGTTTGCAGCAGGAAAAGGTGTGGTGTGTACACAGCCTGGATCAGCAACACCTGCAGACCCACAACTTCCTCTGGTGAAGGTGAACAGGACTTGAAAGCAAGGCACGCCCATCCTTGAGCATCCACAGATTCTCCTCACCAGTTAGCTGTGACTGCATACAGGAGGAACTGCTTGGTCTTTCCCTGAAAAGGATTCCCACCTCTTCTTCGTGTGCATAAATGGTTGAGCAAATCTGTGCTGTGAGAACCCGACTTGGGGGGGGGGTGTTCATTCCAGATGTGAAGATCCACCCTATGAGAATGAATCGTTCTTGTTTTCTTTCTTTCATCCTACTACTGAATGTTGTGCCTTTAAAAAGGCACCCCTTTGGGGAAAGGTTAAGCTGTGTACACTTTGCAAGGAATACTAGCCTGTAAGCTTTTTTCCTCCACACACAGTTGTTACTCAACCCCCCCCCCCCAAAAAAAATCCATGTTGTTCATGCTTGTGTGTGGGTTGTGAGACTCCCCTCTACTTATTAGGCAATGTCATGAAACTGGAGTTCAGCTGAGTTTGCACTCTTGGTGTAAAAGTGAATGGAAATTTTTACATGAACTGAGAATCTTTATTTTCCTCTATTGCTCTAGGAATCGGAGTTGGAATGTTGTATGGATGCAATGGAGACCAATACCACCTGTCTAGCCGAGAACCAGTGCAGTCCAGGTAAGTTATTGGTGGTTGTTACGCACTAATCCAGTGGTTCCCAAACTCCTTTCCCTACAGGCCGCTTGAAAATGTCTGAGGGTCTTGCTGAACCACTTAATGATTTCTCTTCCCACTTTAGCCATTGTATTGCACTCTGTATGGATTTTAATTGCACTTTTAAGCAGCTGCTTTTATTTATTTTTCTATATTGTATTTCTCAGGACTACAACATATAAGAAATAAAAGAAGCAATAAAAAGGAGCATTTGTCGTGGTTCTTCCTACACTTTTATCCCCACAACAGCCCTGTGAGGTAGACTAAGCTGAATGATGGGGATTGGCCCAACATCAACCTAGGTCTTAAACCAGAGACTCACCAGCCTTAATTGAATAACTTTCACCCTGTGGTGATGTATGTTAGGGCATCAGGAGACCGCTCCCAGACAAAGCTGCAGTAAAGACCCACATATTTAGTTGCAAGCCTCTTCTATCTAGCCTTGCAGACTCTCTTTCTGGGGTAGGGGAAAGCAGAGTACAAACTGATCCTTTAGGTCCTTGTCTGGCTTAATTATATTAATTCTATATCACAGCAATTTATGTCCACACACTTCTGCACAACCAACCCTGCGTACAGCCACTTGCCACAGCCCAGAAATACAATTTTCCAAAGAATGAGCTGATAATTTTTGCTGAGCGTAGCCTTGCATCTTGGGCACGGTAGGGGAGGTAAGTGGCCTAGGGACTTCCAGTCAAACGACCAAAGAACATGTCAGAAAATTCTGGTTGGCAAATTAGTGGCCCCTTTTAAAACTAAAAAGTTAATAAATTGCTGGCTCCCCCCTGTCTTGGGTTACATTAATGTTGCAACATAACCTTTGAGGTTTTGTTGTTGAGAGTGATGTATCGAGGAGGGGAGCTGCTGAACAGTTGCCAATAAATTCCAGATTTCGGTTTTTCATATATTTCAAAAGGTTAATCGATCACTATCTTCAGTGCCACTAAAAGAGCTTTGTTGTCATTTTCTCCTTCCTTTTTTTATATTACTGTCAGATAGCTTTGCCCTCCCAGTAGGTCTGTTTTTATGTTTAGATTAAATGTCAGATGTAATTTATCACCAAGGGTATCTAATGTGCCGCTTCCAGCTGAGGGAAGCGGAACAGCCGTGTTTGTTTCCCAATCAGTGCCTCGCTCATCATGTGCTTTATGGAATAATTGATCCCCATCGCTGGCTGCGGAGGGCTGGCCTGGTGAGGCTACTAGGCAGCCGGTTTGGGCTCCTGAGATCAAAACAGCAGCTCTCCACGGCTGATGCACTCCAGCCATTTGTCCAGAAAGGTTGAATGGGGGGAAAATAGCTTTGCCCTCTTCCGTGTTGCATTGCAGAGTGCCACGTTAAAGTAAGGACAGAGCCCCCTGAGGAGCTTACAAGTTATGGGCATAGCTGTCAATGTTTCCCTTTTTTTAAGGGAAATTCCCTTATTCCAAATAGGATTCCTCACAAGAAAAGGGAAAAGTTGACAGCTATGGTTATGGGCATAAGAACTCCCCTGCAGGATTTACCGTATTTTTTGCTCTATAAGACTCACTTTTTCCCTCCTAAAAAGTAAGGGGAAATGTGTGTGCATCTTATGGAGCAAATGCAGGCTGTGCAGCTATCCCAGAAGCCAGAACAGCAAGAGAGATTGCTGCTTTCACTGCACAGTGATCCCTCTTGCTGTTCTGAGATTCAGAATATTTTTTTTGTTTTTGTTTTCCTCCTCCAAAAACTAGGTGCATCTTGTGGTCTTGTGCGTCTTATAGAGCGAAAAATACGGTAATCAAAGACCCACCCAGACCAGTGCTTTGCCTACATTAGGGCAGCAAGATGCCTCTGTGAAGATCACAAGCAGCAGATAAAGGCAGTAAACCTCCCCTCTTTGTTTCTTGCTAACAAGGGATGAATGCTTGGGATGGGTGGAGTTGCTCTAGAACAGGCATGTCCAAAGTCCGTTTCGGGGGTCTAATCCGGCCCTCCGGTTGATTTTACTTTAGGGTAAAATTGTAAAAAAAGCTCAACAACTTCAATCCCCATGCATCAGCTCTCGCACATGTTCACTTGATCAAATGTGGCCCTCTTTGAAAAAAGTTTGGGCACCCCTGCTCTCAAACTTGGAACTCTCTCCTTTTTACCCAGCACCCATTCTGACCTGGGGCTTACAGGGCAATAATAGCACACAAATCCATCAGGTTCTGGAAGCTCATGGGGCAAGTCTTCAGCCACGTTCCAAAGATGCATGCAGTTGTTACGTTCCCAAGGAGTGTGGTGGACACATGTGTTTCTCAAAATGCAAGGGGCTTGCCTTCTCCACCCTGCTTTTGCTGCCTGCCTCATCAGCAGTGAAGGCGGAGACATTAGGGCAATTGGCATTGCCCCACCAACCTCAGCCAAACCCCGCCTGCTTGCCCATTTTTTACAACCGGTGAGGGACGGATTCTGTCCGTGCTTGGCTCTGCCTCCAGCTCCTGCTGACACCCCTGCTTTCTGCACAACGGGCACCAGCAACCACAGCTAACTGCTGTGTTTTCAAGCTGTTTGCAGGGAAAGAACCTGCCGTAGGTGAAAATTCGAAAACATTGCGGGGTGCGCCTAAACCTCTCTCCATCCCCTGGGTCGGAGCCCTCTTGCTCACAAAACTATTTGAATTCTGTCGCTCAGACCTCATGCAAGTGTCCCAGGCCCTATGCAAGGAGCTGTGAGGAAATGGGCCTTTGGGGCAGTCAGACGAATGAAGTGGGTTTCATCCGATGCTTGTTTCTGCATGAAAGGTACTTCTGAGGCTTCTTCTTTTTTGACTCTTCTCATTCTGCCTTCATCCTTTTGTTCCCCACCCCCTCGCATGCAGGCTGCTACAGGCGGTGGAATGAGGATGGCAGCAGCAGCTGCATCAAATGTGATAACGAAACTGTCGCTGCCACGCCGGCGTACAACCTGACTGACTGCCGAAACAGTAAGCCATCTGTGCAGCGTGTTCTTCCCCAATTTGAGCCCTTATAGGAAAGGCCTTCATAGGGGCTTCTTTCTGTGCTTCCCTTAGTTTAGACTTCTAAGTTTAGAGAAAAGGTGCAGAACAGATGACACAGCAGAGGTGTATGAAGTCATGTGTCGTGTGCAGAAAGTGGATAGGAAGACTTTCCCTCCCTCTCACATAACACGAGAACTTGGGGCATCCAGTGAAGCTTGGGAGATTCGGGACAGGCAAAAGAAAACACTTCTTCACACAGCACATGGTTAAACTGTGGAACTCCCTCCCACTGGAGGCAGTGATGGCTGCCAACTTGGATGGATTTAAAAGAGGATTGGACAGATCAATGGAGGATAAGGTTTATCACTGCGATGGCTGTGTTCTACCTCCACAGCCAGAGGCGGTATTCCTCTGAAGACCCTTTGCTGGGAATTGCAAGAGTGGAGAGAGCTGTTTCACTCAAGCCCTGCCTGCAGGCTTCCCAGTGGTTTGCCGCTGTGAGAACAGGATGCTGGATCCTGATAGGCCTTTAGGCTGATCCGGCTCCAAGGCTCTTCTTAAATTCCTTCTCAAGCATCCTGTTGATGCCCTTATTCTCTAGATTGCTTCCTCCCAACCCTCCAACAGAGGTCACTACAGAGCACTTTTAGGCTTACTTTCCTGAGATACAGTTGTTCAAAGTTGTAATCATTCTTCTATTAGCCACGCTGCATATTTCCTATAGTGCCATCTGTGCACATGGTGCATTACAAAGAGCAGGTGTAACGGATGCTTGGGAGTCTCTTACTCTGAGTAGGCCCATTGAAATTAGTGAAATGACCATGAGCTGGGAAGCCTCTCAAGTTTATATCCTATCTTATCCCTAGACGGCCTTAAAACAGACAAAGCTTAGCTTTCACCCTCTTTTTCCCCACTTCACTTTAGCCGCAGGGGGAAATTACTGGCTGCTTTACACTGGGAGACAATGGGAGGTGCTCCCAAATGTTCCAAAGTGACATAGAGAGAGAATTGCAAAAGTAAGACTGTGCTATGAATACCAAATCAACACTAGCAATGAGGGGGGGAGGGAATGTGTTTAGTAAATAGCAGTCGAGTGGCTCCTTAGTAGAGCATCACCTGCTTTGCATGTCGGATCCGGGTCCCAGGTTCAGTCCCTGAATTATCCAAATATGGTTGGATATCTTGGAGAGTGGCTGTCAGTCAGTGTAGACAATACTGAGTTGGATGGACCAATGGTTTAAGGCAGCTTCCTTTGTATCTTTCAAGGAGGGGAGTCTCGGCCTGTTGCATTATACGTAAGCACAAAACCTAAAGCAGACTAAAGGGCGGTGTGTGTGTAATAGGTAGACCACTTCTGACTTGAACCTAATGTGAATTAGGTAACACTTTTTGCTCCTCTCCCCCGCTGGTTCCCTTGTAGACGGTGGCAGAGGAATGAATTCCCAGATGAATCTAACTACCGTAACCCCAGTTACTCTGGGTGTAGGTGAGTAATTCTGGGAAGTGGGCTGCGTATACTGAAGGGGGCTGGATCAAAAAGGGCTGCTGACACCCCAGTGTTTGTTCAGGTAGCTATGGCTTTGAACCACCCACAAGGCTACTTCCATTTTGCCCCACACCTTCTCACCAACTGAGCCAGATCAGCGGCCTCAATTACTCTGTTTGTGAATTCTCCCTTCTGTTAATACTTCTGTTGCTTTAAGGCACTCATAGCCCCCTCCCATCCCACCTCAGGGAGATTTTCTCCCAGTTTGCTTCTGGAAAAGGAAATGGGATAGAGCACCCTTAAATAGACAAATTTGGAAATGAACAAACCTCTGGAGTCCAGACTGCATCCATCATCTCTGACAGTTTTTGTTTTTTTTAAACCATTAAAGATGAAATTGCAAAGATGTGTCCTGCTGTTGGAAACCAGTTGCTGCCACTCCCTCAAAAAAAAACACCAACCCTGAAAATTGTGTCTGACACATAATTTCATTGTGTATATTTGTTGATTTTGCCTGGTTTTATAATTTTATTATGACTTTTTAAAGTCTGCTTTAATTGCTTGTTTTTAATGAACACGTTGCACCGTTTTATGGAAAATGGCTTATTTATGTGTGTGTTTGCTTTTGTTTGATGGAGTGGCATATACATTTTTTCTGACTAAATAGTGACAGTTGCGGGGACCCAGTTTTGCCTGTGACGATGCTAGGAGGCCTGTTCATCCTCTCTCCTGTCTCTCCTTCACAGGGGGCCCAGAAGTAGCCGCTTCTCTTATCTTTGGGACGTTCGTCATCAGCCTCTTCCTCATACTGTGCGTTGCTTCGTTCTTCTACCTCAAACGTGCCAACAAACTTCCAAATCTCTTCTACAGAAGGAGCAAAGGTACGCTGCTTCTGTCACTTCCATCTTTAGCCAATTTTTTTTTTAGGTGGCTTTGGATCCAGATCAACGTGTTGGCACATCCCATCTTTCTTCCATCATGGAACTCAGGATGGCTTATGTGGGTCACCCAGGAGATCTCCCACCTAGGCATTGACCAGACCCAGGCCTGGTTAACTCTCAGCAAGATGCAGCACCGTGTGTCCTCAATCCATGCCCTAGGATAAGTCTTTCCCCAACCTAGTATCCTCCAGATGTAGTTGAAGTGCAGCTTCCATCATCCCTGGCCATTGCCCATCCTGCCCGAGACCGATGGAAGTTGCATTTCAGTACACTTCAGTACACCAAAGGAGGCATTGGCTTTCAAGCTAGACTGTTCCACTGCCAAGCAGTTCTTAGTGTTGAGACATTTAGCCGAAGTCTATTTCCTTGCAAACTCCCACCCATCACTTCTAGCTCTGCCATCTGCAACAAAAGAGAGCAAGTTTTGTACCAGTGAATTCCATGAGTTACCATATTTTTCACTCTATAGGATGCACCCGACCATAGGACGCACCTTGTTTTAGAGGGGGAGAACAAGAAAAAAATTCTCCCCCTCTCTGCACAGCGCCCCTTCGGCGAAGCGGCAGGAGAGGGGTGCTGCGCAGAGAGGGGGAGAATTTTTTTTTCTTGTTCTCCCCCTCTAAAACAAGGTGCCTTCAGTGAAGGCAACCCGAAGCCTCCAGAGCACGGCGGGAGCTCCCGCTGATCTCTGGAGGCTTCAGGCGGCTACCTTGGAAGCCTAGAGAGTGAGAGGGGTCGGTGCGAGAGCGAGAGGGAGTTCCCACCGCGCTCCGGAGGCTTCAGGTTCCTTTCGACCTGCTCTTTGGGGCTGGAGGTGGCTTTCCCCAAAGAGCAGGTCGGGGAGCAGCGGAAAGGCTGCGCATAGCCTTTCCACTGCTCCCCGCGCTTGTGGGGCTGGCGAGGGAAGCCCGGGTTCCCCATCCCCAGGGACCACACATTTGCTCCATAAGACGCACAGACATTTCCCCTTAGATTTTAAGAGGGAAAAATTGCGTCTTATGGAGTGAAAAATACGGTAAATACACAGAAGCAACAGTTCCTTGTTCCAGTCTTTGGGGATTTGAGCTGACCAGAACTACTTCCAGGTCATTTTGAAACAAGCATCCAGCATAGGGCAGCTTTGTGTGTACAATTCCTGCAACTGACATTGGACCAATTAGATCACTAATACTACTATTCTCTCTTTTAACCCTTCCTCTTTAGGGTCTGTTGTACAGTCTGCTGAATCAGTAAGTAAAACTCCAGCCTTGATAATTAATCTTGCTTAACAGGAGTAGCAATAAGTCTGGGTTTCTGGACACAGGCTCCATAAAAGCTCTGTTTAAGAGCACCGAAACCTACAACAGTTGATCGCTTCTGTTGAAACCATTCCTAGTTCATCTGTTTTGGGGTGGTGGGTTACTGCTTCAGTCTGATGACTGAATTGTAGCAGAACTGTGTTTCGGGTTTCAAAACCTCTCAAATTTGTGCTTGGTGTGGGGCAGTTCCAAGAATGCAGTTTCACTGGCATTGGGGGAAGTTAATGCAGCTTTGGGGAGGACTGTACCACCTTAGAGGTGTGCACATATATGTGTGTAGAATCGGCTCTCAGATAAACTGGAAAGTTTGGAGGAAGTCATATGAAACTTAGAAGAAAGTTCACTACCCCGAAACTTCTGAGATACCCTAATCTTCATTCTTATCTTTTCAGGCATCAATGTTATCTCCACCGTCCTCAGGTAAGGATTCCACCCCCCACCCCATCCCTTTGGTTTCTGCTAAAAGTCCCTTTTGTCAAGGGGTGGCAAGGAAAAGGAAAACTGAGAGCCCTTGCCTGGAAACTTTATTTTTAAACAGATATACGGCCTCCCCCTTTTAGAGTGCCATTTTTGTTTGCATCTTGATTTGTGGAGAGTTCCTTACAATAATCGCCTAAAAACCAAAACCTTTCTCGATGGCACCTTGCGGCATTAACGCTGCTAATCAGGCCCCTCTCCTGTCATAAATGCAAAGCTTATATTGCCTCATGAAAAGGTTCTTTCCCCCCGCTTTAATAGCATATTTGGTACTTAAGGGGGTGTGCTTTAAAAGTAGATGGATTTCAGGCAGCGAGGGGTTTTATGGGCGCTTGAGAGAGAATTACTGAGCTGGTCCTGGCTTCTCGCAGCTCAGACTGTCTCCCGGGTTCCCAAGTGGCTCATTCTTAGTCTCGGTGGATTGAAATGTGCCGTACAGCTCAGAATAGATGACAGATGGAACACAAAAAATATAAGGGGTGGTTTGAGTTCTTCCCACCCCGCCCACCCATGATTTCTTTTCTTCTGCAAAATAATTATAAAAAGCATTTGATGCTCGAAACCATTCCTATTCCCTAGAAGTGCACTTGGTCTAATTGGAATATATTTCTTCTTTAAAGCTTGTTCGTACAAGAAGCCCTTGCACATAATGATTTTTCTAAAACAAAAAAGTGCATGTATTTTATTTTTCCATTTATATCCCACCTTTTCTCCTAAGCTGCTCACGGTCTGGCATACGTGGTTCTCCCTCTCTTCCAGTTTATCCTTACAGGTTAGGCTGAGAGACAGTGACTATTTTGTGGCAGTTTTGAACTGGGGATTTGACCCTTAGTCTCACACTCTTAACTGTTATACCATCCTGGCTTTCAGTTTTTTGGGGGGGGCTCTTAATCCAGAAATCCTTTCTCTGCCCCCTACCTTTTATACTTTGGGGCCATGCTTTCTTGTGATGCAGTAATCACAAAATCAAAAAAGGTGTAGGTGAGTCATATATTTGGCAATGGAAGCCAATTGTCTTTTCAGTGCCTGCTTGAAGGGCTACTTCATCCAACAGATGCTTTTTGGAGAGATCTTTCCCAGTCTGCCTCTGTATTGGAATTTGTTTTTCAGATGTGTTAATTGTTTTTATCAAGAGAGACAGTCAGTGTAGACCCTACTGAGCCAGATGGACAAATTTGTCTGGACACCGTACACTTCCTATGTTCCTAGCAAGCGCATCCAGATATGGATGATAGGAGTTGTAGTCTTTCACCCTCTGGTGGGCCACGGGTTCTCCCACCTCTGCTCTAGGAAAACCCGATGCTGACCAGGGATCTTAAATAACTTCCAGCCACAAGCGAAGTGACCTAGTTCTTCCCCTCTCAAAAATCAAGAAAAAATTGGGGTGCAAGGAAGCAAAAGCAACATCTAAAGCTAATCCCTCCCCCAATTTCCTATCTTAAGCAGTTAAGTTAATAGCGTCTCCTTTTCACTTCCCTTTTCTGCAGTCCGCAAACCCCGCTACGTCAGAAGAGAGAGGTCACTGATGACTTCCGGTACCAGCACAACTATTTCTGCAGAGACCAGAGTCAGCAATGTGTAGCAGCCAGTCTTTGGAGCCCTGAGGAATTGTAAATACTGGCGTGGGCGGCACGGTGCCCATGCACCCGGTTGCTAGCAAAAGTGCCAGGAAAACAGCTGAGAAAGTGGCCGGCTGGGAAGAGGGAAAAGATGCCAGCAGCTTTGCATCCAATGGGCTTGTGCCAATGAAGCATGGAACGAAGACTCACGATCAGAGGAGTTCCGGAGAGGGGAGCCAGTTCAGTTAACTGCTCTCAGGCAGGCTGCCAATTCTGTTTTCTTTCCTGGATCGTAGCGAAAGACTCTCCGCTCCCCTTTTGGGACGCTGCGTGCTCACTGCACGGCCGCTCCAGCTCCACCATCGTCTCTGACTGTCAGGATTTGGAGGTCTGGTTGGCAGCCTGGCTCCTGCACCGCTGGGCCATTTCTTTTTGAGGAGGTGAACTGGCTTGCGGTGCCCGCTGCTCAGTGTGAAACACAAAAGTGCCATGTTTTTTTAATGCCGGTGGGAAGCGTTTGGCATCTCGTAATGCAAAATTTTGCAGCATGCCTTCAGGTTCTGAGATGCGAGCTGGGCTGCTAGCCAGGAACTGCTCTTCCAGCGCACCATGCAAGTCGCTTGCTCTCTCTCTTTTTAAACAAGTGGGTTTTGAACGAGGCCTTAAGCTTATTGCAGTGTTGTCATCGCCGAGCCGCTGAAAGATTTTATTTCCTTCTCCCCCTTCCTCTGTATTTCATGATGGCGGGCAGTAGAATTTCCTTCCAGGTTTATCCACTGAGCACACCCACCTCTAGGAGGCTCTGCTGGTTTTTTGATGTGTGTGCTTGACAGCGCACGGAGGCAAGAGTGGCCAAACCATTGTGAGCAAAAAGCACACTCAGTGGCCTCTCATCTCCAAATGTTTGGAACAGGAGAGGTGGGAATTTGCAAATACTGCAATAGTTGATCCATTTGTTTTGTATTTTTGCACTCTGTTTTCTTACTCCTCAAGCTCTGCATCCATCCTGGGGAACCTGCAGCCCTCCAGACCGCTAGACTACAGTTCCCATTGTCTCTGATGGTTGGTTGTGTGTCCTAGGGCTGGCCAGGGCTGGGAACATCCAGCAACATCTGAAAGGCCACAGGTTCCCCACCCTGGCTTTCTGTATCCTTTGTTTCAGCAGTAGTGAAGCTGGTGCTCTCCAGCTTTGATGGCACTACAACCCCCATCATCTCTGGCTCTTGGCCGTCCTGCTGGGACTGATGGGGGTTGTAGTTAAGTAACATCTGGAGGGCACTGCAATGGCTTCCCCTGTTTTAGATGATGCCAGGTACCTTTTACAGTACCGTTCAGTGGTGGAGATGCAGTGTCAACTGTGCATCCGTGTTTCTTGTCTCCCTAAGAGCCAGAAAACCTGCTCCCCACCTCTGGCGTAGATTTCACAATGCAGTTTCATTTTTTTGACCCTCACAGACTAAAGGGTCCTTCCTGCCTGTCCAAGGAGGATACAGGATGCGGTCAGGATAAGTGCAGAAATGTCTCACGGCGGGGGCACTTTAATCTCTTTGGGTTGTCTCCTACTCAGAGTAGACCCATTGAAATTAATCTGAGCCTTGCTCCTTCATATCAGTGGGCCCACTCGGGTGAGTAGGACATCATTGGATTCAACCCTCTCATTTATTTTAATGAGCTAAGATGTAGCTTTGAAATTGTCCTTCCTAAGCTGGGAGCATCCTCATTTTCTTCTGTTTTTAAACAATGCTTTTGAGCCTCGTCAGGATGAAAGGGGGGGGGGACGGGACATCCCCACACCTCCCCGAGTTTTTAGATTGCTACAAATCAAATGTAGAACCACCCAAGGAGGTATCTCTGACTTAGTCCCCACAGAAGACTCTGCAGTCCACAACCTTCCTCCAAAGGCAAATGCTTTATTTCTGTATGGGGAGTCCTCAACCTTCACTTGCTTATATTTATATCTTTTATTTAAATGCAGGTGCCATTTCTTGAGATCAGAATCCTGAGGGGTTTTTGTATATTAGCTCCTCTTCTTCTCCCCATCCTTTTACAATCTCTCAGATTCCCTGCAAGTGAAAACACAACTGGGAAGAGACCAGCGGAGATTCCAAAACTTCTCCCCCCCCCCCCGGGTGGACATATTACTATGCAATGATGCCATGCAAGGAAACCGCCTCCCCTTGCTCGGATGCAATCTCCCTTTTTGTAAAGTCAGTACGCTCCCCTTCCTTGTGCATTTAGGTTGGTGGTGCTGCCCTTTCACCCCAGGCACAGTTCTTTCTGCTAGGCTGCCTGATGCCCTGCCTTGACCCCAAAGCACATGCCTCTACTTTCTAATAGATGGTTGAAGTCACTCTGGTGTGTGTGTGTGTGTGTGTGTGTGTGTGTGTGTGTGATCACACCGTTCAATGCAGGGAAATCCGTTCTTACTTGCCAGTGTAGTTGTGGGGGGGGGGGGTTGTATCTCCTGCTGTGCCATTCTAGTGGAAAAGAGGCAAGTGTGGGCTGCTTTATTATTATTTTTTTACTCCCACTGTTGTGTCAAATGCAAACTTGTCTTTGTGTACATCTCTCCCCACTCCCTTACTTTTCCCTTTCACTGGCTTTAATAAAAGCACACAAAGTCCTGAGTTCGGCGTATTAATTTTTCAAGCTGGCTGGTTTGGGCACTTGCCCCTAGTTTTGGAAACGAGGTGCTAGGAGTTCTCCCTCTTCAGGTCAGAGGTGGGCATCGTGGGGACAAATTACCATTCCTATGGCAAATGGGGATTCGATTTTCTGATGTCTCTGTCAAGCTTATGCATGCAGATCTGTCTTCATTCCCATCTTGCTCCTTGATCTTGACAATCAGCAAGTTGGTGGGGTTTTGTTTTGTTTTTTGCCGGTTATGTTAAAAAAACAATGTGCATAATATATTCTTACGCTTATACATATTTAAACTGCAGACTTCCTAAAGTAACCAGCACAACCATGAATTATTTTTAACTGCATAGAAATACTTTCTGTATTAATGCGACCATATAAATAAGGGTTGTAGCCCATGCTAGTCCTACTCAAGAGTAGACTCGTTGAAGTTAATGCAAGTGACTGCATTAATTTCTGTGGGTCTGCTCTTAGTAGGACTTTGGTGGACTGCAATCTGTTGCACTATGTGGTGCTTGTATATTATATTTAGATAGAAGACTCGTTTGCATATGCTTAGGCTTTCTTTAAAGATCTGCTTGAATAGCTTGGCCCTAAACCAATGGTCAGTACGAGAAGCGGTTCCATGCAAAGCTTGATCCAGTCAGATCAGTTAAATCCCATGTATATATCAATTTAAAACAGATTACTCCTCCCACCTCAGTGGTAAATGAAAGTTCCCTGCATTGTATCGAGGATAGTATACAGCAGGGGTCATCTAAACTTAGTCTCTGTGGTGTAGTGGTTAGAGTCCTGGATTAGGACCTGGGAGACCAGGGTTCAAATCCCCATTCAGCCATAAATCAGAAGCTTTCTTATTAGGTATTATAGGACAGGAATTGCCAAAACAACAGAAGAAGCTTTTCATGTACGCTACAGCTGCTAGGACTCTGTTAGTACCTTGTCGTCTTTCCATTTTTGGGCTAACAAAAGAATGGCAAGTTAAACTTATGGAATACGCAGACATGGCAAAACTTACAGGAAGACTTAGAGATAAAGACAACAGAGACTTTAAAAAAGACTGGGAATCGTTTATGTTGTAGTTACAGAAATATTGTAATGAAATGGATTCGCTAGCAGGTTTTGAGTAAACGCAATTAAGAAAACATGAACAAAAGTCAAGAAACAATAATATGGAAATTAACTAAATGTAAGAGGCAATTTGAAGAAAATTTGGGATAAAAATGATAAGAATATAAGAGCCCTTAGTTAAAAGATGGAAAATAAGACAAAAATTAAGCAGAAGCAGCAAATAGTTAATGAACCAGAAGTTGGGGGAAGTAATGGGGTGGGGGAGTTTTGTTTTATTGCATTTCTTTTATATGATAAATGTGTTGAATATCAAAATGTAAACTTAATAAAAAATTATTTTTTAAAAAAATCCCCACTCAGCAATAAACCTCACTGGGTATGACCTCGTTGCCTCTCAGCCTAACCTCTATCCCATAGAGTTCTTGTGGGGATTAAATGAAGAGGAAGAGAAGTGCGTACGCCACTCTCCACTCCTTGGGATATGGATGTAGTCATAATAAATAAACTATTGGAAGTTATTTAGCAAAAGGGGGCGATCCAATATAGCAGCTGTCTGTAGGCAAACATGAGGCCTACAGACTTGAGGCTGAAGTGCAGAGGTGAGGTGTGTACCAGATCTTGCCAGACTTCTTTCTCATGGCAGTTTTTCTATGCAGGCTGCAGGGCTGGGGCCACATCCGCACCACGCATTTAATGTGCCGTGATAACACTTTAAGCTTTCGTGGCTTTCGCCCAAAGAATCCTGGAAACTAGTTTGCTGTAAAGTTGCAAAGAGACCCCTATTCCTCTCACAAAGGTACACTTCCCAGAATGGTTTAATCGTCAGTCCCTCTTCCTAGGGAACTCCTCCAGGAATTGTAGCTTTGTGGGGGGATAAGGGGTGTGTCCTAACAGCTCCCAGCACCCTTAACCAGCTGGGCCTTTCCCCTGAAACTCTTTCCATCCACTAATAACTGCCTTATCCTATGTCATTTTGTGGCAGCACGGGCAGTCCAATGCCAATGGCAACAACTGAGGAATCAATGTTTTCAGACCTCACGGTTGTGGGTGCACCTCAGCAAGTTGACTTAATTGTGTGTTTATTATGAATAAATGATCATAGCCCACTCTTCATCTGTACTGCTAATGGGTGGGGAAACATCATAAAATGCGCTGGGGGTTGTGGTTTTTTTGGAACAAGGGCTGCATTCCAAACCTTCCAGGGACTCTATTCCAGTGCTGGGAAAGGTCAGAGGCATAGGGAAGTAGAGCAATGAATGTGACTCTTCCCTTTGCGCCATCTGTGCAAAAGTTTTAAAAGAGTATTTTTTTTTTACGCCCCCCCCCCAATCTCTCAGTCCAGTTAAGCAGGAAAGATAACCACAGTTCAAGGAAAATTTCCAGCCAGGCAAAAGTAAGTGAAGGGGCAGAGAGCTATGTTTCCCAGAGTTCCCTGGGAAGAGGGGATTGAACCATTCTGAAGAATTGTACTTCCGTGAAGGAAATTGGGGCGGGGAGAAGGCAGTTTCCTAACAACTCTCAGCACCCTTAATAAACTACTTCTCCCAGGATTTGCGGTGGGGAGCTATGACTGTTTAAATCGGCATGATACTGGTTTTAAAAGTGTGGTGCGAATGTGACCTTAAAGTCAGTTCCTGGCTCTGGTAGTGGAAGTTGTGGTCCTTGTGGTGTCATGTGCCCTCCTGCCCTCTAGAGGGAGCATTGTCACTGTGGTTAGCTACCTTAGAAAGGACAACCATTCATTTCCAGAGTAGAAAGATCGCATCAAAGGAGCCCAGCAGGATTCATCATTCTCTTTGCACAACACCCAACCAGACAATTGATTGATTGATTGATTGATTGATTGATTGATTATTTAATTTCTATATCACTTAATATATGAAAGATATCTCTAAGAAAATGAAGCAACAACAGACAGCTTAAACAAAATGTAACAAAAATACACAGTTACATATGTGCCCCGGGGCAATTTCCAAGAGGACACTCAGCTCTCTCCTGCTCGCAGTGGTTGTTGTTGTTTAGTCGTTTAGTCGTGTCCGACTCTTCGTGACCCATGGACCAGAGCACGCCACACACTCCTGTCTTCCACTGCCTCCCACAATTTAGTCAAACTCCTGCTGGTAGCTTCGAGAACACTATCCAACCATCTCGTCCTCTGTCGTCCCCTTCTCCTTGTGCCTTCCATCTTTCCCAACATCAGAGTCTTTTCCAGGAAGTCTTTTCTTCCCATGAGGTGGCCAAAGTATTGGAGCCTCAGCTTCAGGATCTGTCCTTCCAGTGAGCACTCAGGGCTGATTTCCTTCAGAATGGATCGGTTTGATCTTCTTGCAGTCCATGGGACTCTCAAGTGTCTCCTCCAGCACCATAATTCAAAAGCATCAATTCTTCGGCGATCAGCCTTCTTTATGGTCCAGCTCTCACTTCCTTAGCAAATGGTAATTCAGAGTCAGTTTGGAAAGGAAAGAAGCATTCTTGGAACTCTCTTTGCTGGAGGTGGTGGAGGGGGGATGTTAATGCTTTTACTGGCTCCCTTATTGGCGTCTGCGGGAGAAAATGAAGAGGCTGTCATCCTAACACTTCTAGTTTGTTCATAAAATATTCACAGCGGTGTAGGGAAAGTTGAATGAGCCACACACAGGCAGAAAAAGAAAAACTTGACACACGGCCAAAGCAGCTTGATTTACACAATGGTTAAAATCAATTTTGGGGTTTTTTAAAAACCACCAAAGGTAGCGGGAGAACAGCGTGGTGTTGAAAACATCTACTTGAGTGCCCCAAAAGCCCACACACCCTTTCTTTCTTTCTTTCCACCCTGTAAGGTCTGTCTTGCTGTAAAATATTCACCTAAAAGCTTTTGAGGGGTATGTGTGGCCCACTGTGAAAACTGCACTAAGCTGCGTTGTCAAAGCAAGGAGATGATCACGTACTATTCAAAGTGAAGTGATATCGGGGGAAAGAAGAATGAAGAGTGGGTGGGGGGTAGAGAAATCATTTTAAAAAGCTCTTGAAGGCAAATTTGTCAGTTAACCAGCCCCTGACCGAAACAGAATGACCTTCATCAAGATGACAGGCGCGAAGTCCCAGCTGTTAGGTGTCTGCTTGAAAGAACAGGAATCAAACAACGAGGGTAAGATGTGGGTGACAGCACCCACGGCGTATTCTACATACCTGAAACAAGTTGTCTCCCCTGCCCCCAATACCATCCCACTAAGAAAGAAAAAAACAGCTGTGACATGCGCTGCCGTTGCATGCCTCAAAGAGAAAGCGACAGGCAAAATGACTTTAAAAACAATAAGTTGTAAAGGCGCTGTGCGTGCCGGAAGGCTGATGCCCAATTAGGCTTTCTTCAGAATTTCTCCTGCCAGCAACCTGACACTCGGGCTGAAGCAAAACGCAAAGGGAAGGGGGGGCACAGCAGCGGCGGCCTGTGCATCAAATAACCAGCAACATCTGTGCTGCTTTGCAGCAGGAGTTTCTCGCTAGCGACTCAAGAACAAAATGCCACAGTTATTGTCGAGAGGAGAAATGTCCTCTTTAAAAAGAACACACTGCACCAATATTTTTTTGCCCTGAGGGGTTTCAGATGAAACACTGACTGGTGTTTTCGCACAGCGTACAGAACTGACCGTTTAAAAAAAGGGGAAAAATACAGTGGTACCTCAGGTTACATACGCTTCAGGTTACATACGCTTCAGGTTTTACACACTCCACTAACCCAGAAATAGTGCTTCAGGTTAAGAACTTTGCTTCAGGATAAGAACAGAAATCAGGCTCCGGCGGTGCGGCGGCAGCGGGAGGCCCCATTAGCTAAAGTGGTGCTTCAGGTTAAGAACAGTTTCAGGTTAAGAACGGACCTCCGGAACGAATTAAGTACTTAACCCCAGGTACCACTGTACTGAGTCAGGCTACTGGTCCACATAGCTC